GGAAGAAAGGAGAAAGGAAGGAGGGAAGATAAGAGGGAGGGAGGGAAGAAGGGAGGGAGGAAGGAAGAAGGAAGGAGGGAGGGAGGGAGGGAAGGACAGGTTGGTTCCTTCCATCCCTGTTGAGGACAAGGCCTCCAGCAGAGTTCGGGATAGAGAATAATAAAACCACAAACGGCGTGAGCCGCACTGCACTGACTTTCCACTGCCTAACTGGTGTGGACAGAGAATCAAGGGTTCAAGAAACTGCTCTTGAACCTCAGATGGGGGAGGGGAGGGTATGCTCAGCATCAAGAAAAGCTCACCCAAAGGTAAATCCGAGTCTTTTATCCACAATAGAAAGCCTGGCACGTGGGGTATTTCTATAACATTTTATGACGTTTTTCCCTAAGTTCAAAGCAAGGTTCACATTTACTTTTTCACTTTTAATATCTTTACCTGACTTTTTGGTCAGTCCTGGGCCTTGAACTCAGGGCCTGGGCGCTGTCCCTGAGCTCTTTCTCTCAAGGCTGGCGCTCTACCACGTGAGCCACAGCACCACTTCTGGTTTTCTGGTGGTCCATGGAAGATCAGAGTTTCACGGACCTTTCTGCCCGGGCTGGGTTTGAACTGTGATCCTCAGATCTCAGCCTCAGATCATACACACAGACACAGACACACAGACACATACACACACACCCCAAACATCTCCTGTGACTCTTGGGTCTCCTGCATTTCTACAGGGAAGTTTTACTTCCCTTCCAACCAGTGCTTCCTTCCTGGCCTCTTCCCAGTGTGATGTATCAAAAACTCTTCCCCTGGCCTGAAGTGTGACATTTCCATTGCTGGCCAACTCACCAGAACAGAAATCATCATTCTCCTTTCACGGTCCTCTCTTCTCTTTCCACACATTCCAGAACACTCCTTTCATCCTATCTTTGTAGCTGGCAGACATAGAGGAAAAAAAAAAAAAACAACAAAACCCTATAGCCTTGCAAAAACGTTCAGCATGTTTTTTGGGTTTTTGTCAGTCCTGGGTCTTGAACTCAGGGCCTGGGCGCTGTCCCTGAGTTCTTTTGCTCAAGGCTGGCGCTCTACCACTTGAACCACAGCGCCACTTCTGGTTTTCTAGTGGTTTAGTGGAGATCAGAGTCTCACAGAGTTTCCTGCCAGGGCTGGCTTTGAACCACGATCCTCAGATCTTGGCCTCTTGAGTAGCTGGGATGACAGGCGGGAGCCACCAGCGCCCCATCCCACTTAACCACCAAAGACCTGGAAGTGGAACTGAGCTCCAGGGGTAGAGAAATGGCCTTGAGCAACAGAAGTTCAGTGACAACACGGGGTCATGAGTTCAAGGCCCAGGTCTCACACACACACACACAGAGCTAGAGCTAGTAGCACACCTGTCATGCCAGGTACAGAAATGGAGGCATAGGACCCAGAATGACCAAGACAAAAAGTAAGACTCAGCTGGGCACTAGTGGCTCATGCCTGTCATCCCAGCTACTCAGGAGGCCGAGATCTGAGGATCGTGGTTCAAAGCCAGCCCAGGCAGGAAAGTCTATGAGACTCTGATCTCCCATGAACCACCAGAAAACTGGACGTGGAGCTGTGGTCACGTGGTAGAGCGCCAGCCCGGAGTGAAAGAGCTCAGAGACGGCGCCCAGGCCCTGAGTTCAAGTCTCAGGACTGACAAAATGAACATACAAGCACGCACACAGTAAGGGGGGGAGGGGTGCACTTAGGGGAGAGGTACAAACGCGTAACCCCAAGGAACTGTCTGAATAAATCACGTTTTTGGGGGGAGAGGCGGGAAGGCAAAGTGGGGCTCATGGGAATCGAAGGAGAAAAGGTGAGCGAACAGTCATTACATTCAGTGTACGCTATGCAAACACGGATCTACAGGTCTCGAGGGTTGGGATGGGGGTGGCGGAAATGGAGGATTATGATGTCACGACATTGCCACTCCTTTGGACAATTTAATAATAGCCAAGTGAAGGCACGAGGCCCGGAGTTCAAGTCCCAGTACCAGGGAAGGGGGAGAGGGAAAAGGGAGAGGAAGGGGAAGGAAAAGATGTACTTTCCTGTAACTCTGTGTGTGTGTGTGTGTGTGTGTGGTGGTCCTGGGGCTTGAATTCGAGCTGCCCCTCAGCTCTTCTGCTCAAGAATAGCACAGCTTCACTTTTAAGCTTTTTGGGGGTAGGTAATTGGAGGTAAGAATTGTTTTCGACTGTGCTAGAAGCCTTCAAAGCCAAACTTCAATCCTCAGATCTCAGCCTCCTGAGTAGCTGGGATGACAGGCGGGAGCCACCGGCGCCCACACCAACTCCACCCTGTAAAGATGTGCTGTAGTTAAGTGTGTAAGTTCAGGCCTCAATGCAGACAAAACCTAACTACTCAAGAGGCCGAGACCTGAGGGTTATGGTGGTTTGAAACCAACCTGGGCAGCACAAGTCCTGAAGACCTTTATTATCTCCAATTAACCACCAAAAAGCCAAAAGTGAAGGTGTGGCTCAAATGGTAGAGTACCAACCTTGAGCATTAAAAAAAGTGAAGGGGACTGGGCAGGTGGCTCAGTGGTAGAGCACTCGCCTAGCACGCACGAAGCCCTGGGTTCCATTCCTCAGCACCACATACACAGAAAAAGCCAGAAGTGGCGCTGTGGCTCACGTGGTAGAGCGCTAGCCTTGAGCAAAAGCAGCTCACGGACAGTGCCCAGGCCCTGAGTTCAAGCCCCAGTACCCACACAGCAAAACAAATGAAAATCTACATAGATTAGACCGTTGTCTGCCTGTGAGAGGGCTTGGAGGGGAGGGATTTATAAAGGTGAATGTGTTGTTACGAGGCACTGCTAGCCAAAAAGGCGCACAGACATTTCCCAAGACTTCAAACTGCATCTCCCCCATCTTCGCTAACCAAGTGTTAAGATTCCCCAAAGCAATACAAATGTGTTCAACGAGTGACAGGTTCGATGGTTTTCCGTGGATTTTCACATCTGAAACATTTCATGAACATGGAGGGAAAAGAAGAAAAAAAAAAAAAAACACCAAACCACGTAGAGCCCCAGGATTTAACAAAACGGGAGCTGTGCACCGATGGTCAGTTGCGGTCTGTTTTATTTTCCTTTCATCTGAAATTCACAAGTCATTTGTGGTCACTTTAGGGCGATTTTTATATAGGAAAAAGAGTTTATTAGAAAAATAAACAACTTTAAAACTTTACAATATTTTCTACTTCAAGAACTCTTAGATAAAGCCCATGTGCCTTCGGGTTTAAACATAATCTGATTTACAAAAATCTCAAGTTAGTCCTATTTTGTAAAACAAAATACAGAAAGACCAACGGCGGTAAGGGAGGGCTGGGGGCAGGCGAGAGGCTCGGCCGGTCCCTCCGACAGCTGCCCGCGGGCTCACCAACCCCCAAGCCACCGCCGCCACCGGCTGACAGGGGCAGTGCTGTGCTTCGAGCTTCTTCTTTCCAGAACCTTCTCCACTAGACTAGAGGCCAGATGGTAAATGGATTGGGATAGATGTGGGACAGTGCTGCTCTGGACAGGAGGCCTGGAAGGGCATGGAGGTGTGGTGTCTGGTGGGGAGGAGGGGGAGACATTTGTGCAGAGAGTAAATGCTAACAAGTGGACGTCACTGAGGTTTCCAGTCGGACTTGACTGTGTGTACATGTGTATCCACACAAGCTATAAAATGAGCTCATTTAAAGCTCCATATTGGGTTTTTTTGGTGTGCTCTTGAGGCCAGAGTGAACACAAGCCACGCAGCCAAGGGTCGCGAGTGGCTCGTCGTTAACCACGGCATTCTGCAGGATTTCTACACAGTAAGAAAAAAATAAACCCATTTTCATTATTGACGATGCCTCTCGAGAACGCAGTAGAGGCTCATTTCCTGATGCCTTTCTAAAAGGAAATCCAACTGTTTACGTGGGAAGGGATGTGCGAGAAAACCAAAACCAAAACCCAGCACACACTCAAGCGAGGTCTACAATCGTCGGTCCATGGAGCAGGACTTACAAGTAGGGGGGGCGGTAAAATAAAATACAAACTACGTATCTATCGGAGATACTTCTCATAACAAACCCCAAACTGAGAGGAACAGAGGAGACTGTGACTTCCTGCAGATCCCGTTGGGGGAGGCGGGGCGAGGGGGGGCGAGGAGGGGGGCAGAAGTGCTTAAGCAGGGAGGGGAGGGGAAATTAGGGGAAAAAAAAAAAAATCTAAGAAAATGCAGCGTCCTGCCCGGACGCCGCAGGGCGCAGGTCACGCGGGAACACACAGGCCACGCAGGGCCACGCCGGAGGGCTGACACCAGCGCCGCAGGCCCCCCCCCCCCCCCGCGTGATCACCACTGACTTCGTGGACAGAACTCTCCACCCTCCACCAACCCACGTCTCCTGTGATGTCGGCTCCAAAGCAAATGAGACGTGGCCGGTGCATCGCGGACGCTTTTCCCACGCCTGGACTTACTGTTTTTGTTTACTCTGTTCTTTAAAAACTCTAGTGTAAAAACAGCTGGTTTTTCTGCCACCGTGGTGAAGGAAAGCCCACGTGGCCTGACCACGAGACCACGCAGGTTACAACGCGTCCTTCCAACGGACAGGCCGCCACCGGGAGGAGAGAGCACCAGAACATTCTAGAAGGGCTCTGGGGCCTACCTCAGGGAGTTTCTGGAAGAATGTTCTCGTAGTATTAACAGTAGTACAGTCCCTCTGTCTGGGAGAAGACACGATTTGTTCAAAAAGGTGCTTAATAACAATTTCTCTGACAGTGCCCTCCAATACCACTGCTACCATCATATATACATTTAACTTCCATGCTTCTAGAAAAACATCTACAGTACATCTCGTAATATAAAAATATATTACAAATCTGCTCAGTTTATTTACAGGCAACATTCTAGTATCTCTATGCAACATTTGTCTGACAGGAAGTTTACACAATAGCTCCATTTCTTGTAAGTTAAAAAAAATTCAATATGGCTTCTTGCTCGACCAGCAAGAAAGTGATTATTCTTTAAAAATTTTTTTCTTTTCAAAACGAACTTTGGTGCATAAACAATTCAGTCTGACGATACTATAAAAAAAATACAGTTTTTCTCATGTTACAAAAGAAACAACAACAACAAAAAAAGCCAAAAACTCAAGAACCAAATGCTTTCCTCAGAAAGAAATAGAGTCACGGGAGGAAATGAACATGGGAGAGGAATGGAGGTTTTCCAAGACCAGGCCGCCCTCAGCTCCCGGGACCCTCCGTGGGAGCACACGGGCCCGGGCCTGGGCCCGGGGCCCCGTCTCCTGAACGGTAATTTGCAGCCCTAATTCGAAAGGAGGATTTTTTTGTTAGCTGATTGCAACTGCTGCTCACGGTTTGCTTACATACACACTGAACACTTTCCTCATCAGAGTTCTGCAAAAGAACACAATGGCAACCAGTCACTGCCGTTTCTCATGGCAACAAGGCTAGACACCTCTCCATGGCTCGTCTGTCTACACGCTTCCTGACATCCAGACTCCGGGCAGACAGGCCCGCCCGGGGGGTCGCTAAGGGGAGGAGGAGGTGGCTGGCAGCAGTGGTCGCGGAGGGTACCACAGTCATGCGCTCCACAGCGGGTTGGACCACGCGGAGCGTAAATAGGAACGGACAGGACCGGGGGAGGGGAGGGGGTGGGGGAGTGGGGGAAGGGGACTGGGGGGGAGGAGGAAGGGGATCCCTAGTGTGCAGCCCTCCTACGCCCCGCTCAGTGCCTACAACTGCAACCCCACTGGCTCTTGCGTTTACGTACTTAGTTATTGTTTACCTCTTCAACCTCTTCTGCGGCATTGTTCTAGAAAGAGAGAGGAAAGAATGGTCTTTTATTCAACGGATGAAGCAGTCAGAGCCCAAGGCTCTGAGTTCAAGCCCCAGCGCTGTCCCCCATGCACACGTAAAAGAAAATGCAAAGCTGAGTGTCCTCTTAGAAACACCATTTTCTTGTTTTTTCTTGCCAGTCCCGGGGCTTGAATCAGGGCTTGGGTGCTGGCCCCGAGTTTCTTTTGCTCATGGCTAGTGCTCTAACACTTGTGGCTTTTTTTGGTGGCTCATTGGAGATTAAAAAACAAAAAAACAAAAAACTCTTGCTGGGCACTAGTGGCTCCCGCCTGTCATCCCAGCTGCTCAAGAGGCTGAGATCTGAAGATAACAGTTCAAAGTCAGCCTGGGCAGGAAAGCCTGTGAGACTCTTTATCTCCAATGAACCACCAGAAAACTGGAAGTGGAGCTGTGGTTCAAGTGGTAGAGCTCCAGCCTTGAGCTGAAGAGCTGAGGGACAGCGCCCAGGCCAGAGTTCAAGCCCCATGACTGATGACAAAAAAAAAAAAAACAAAAAAAACAAAGCCTCACGGACTTTCTTGCCCAGGCTGACTTCAAACCATGATCCTAAGATCTCAGCCTCCCGAGTCACTGGGATGACAGGTGTGAGCCAGGTAAAGCTGGCAGGGCTCTGTGCAGTGAGCACGCAGTGCATACAGACGGCGACTCGGCATGCAGGAGAAATGCAACTCTGCCTAACCCCCTTTGTGAGACCACCCTACAACAAAGAACATGGCCAGGAAGCCAAGTACTGAGTTTCCGCGGGGTAAACACAGCACTATTTCAACTGCCCTTCCTGGAAGTTTCAGTACCAAGCTTTGAAAAGTTCAAGCAGCTATGTGACATTTAGGAAACATAACACGCATCTGCCACCTCCCAAAAGTCTCATAACATGCAAAGAATCCCATGCCTTAATAGTAGGATTTTAACGTCAAATTATGTATCATAATCTACGCTGCTTAAGATAAACCCAGAATGAACAGGTGAATGGAAAACTTTACCAACTATTTCTCTATTTCAAAATCTGTTTGCAATGTCATTTCCACATCACAAAAAAACAAAGCATCAAGCTGGGCACTGATGGCTCACGCCTGTAATCCTAGCTACTCAGGAGGCTGAGATCTGAGGATCTCGGTTCAAAACCAGCCCAGGCAAGAAAATCTGTGAGACTCTTATCTCCAGTAAACCACCAGAAAACCGGAAGTGGTGCTGTGGCTCAAGTGGTAGAGCGCTCGTCTTGAGCTGAAGAGTTGAGTGAGGGACAGCATGGCTCACACCTGTAAGTCTGACTTCAAAGCCAGCCCAGGCAGGAAAGTGCATTCACCACCAATTAACCAATTAATCACCAAAAAGCCAAAGTAGAGCTGTGGCTCAAGTGGTATAGCACTAGCCCTGAGCAAAAGCAGCTCAGAGCTGGTGCCCAGGCCGTGAGTTCAAGCTCCAGGACCAGCACACACATGCAAAAAAAAGCAGCAGAAAGTAAGCCATGTTTAATATGGCAATTCAAGACTGTTGCAAATCTAAAGTGTTCCAAAGTCTGAAATTTATTTAGCACCAACCTGATACTCAGAAAGTTCTAAAATGTAGAGTGTATGGATTTCAAATGCTCAGACGAGGTACACACATTGGTGATGTGTCCACAGAGATATTCTAGAAATCAAAACCAATTCTCTGACGCCTAAGCATCTTAGATAAAGATAATTCCACCTAGGCTTAACTTATGCAACATCATGGGAGATTTCAGATTATAACGTAGAGAACAAAGCAATTACCTGTATATGTTTGGGTCCAAAAGCAAGGCAGTGTCTTTGGGTAGCTTTGATAGATGAACTACTTTAGTTTTTAATTGATGCCGCTCACTTTCATTCACCCATACATCTGGCAGACTGCAAATCACAGAAAGAAAAAAGTCCAACTTGAAACCGCAATTGTATAAGGTCACCTTACAACTGACCTTCCCGAGCCAGCCACCCGCACTAACAGCAGCTTTGCCTCTCCCTCTCCGGCTGGGGTCACAGGCACGCACCTCCGTGCCCGGCATACCTTCCCAAGCTGTGGAGAAGCTGCCGCACAGCATCAGCCTGAGATTTCAAGCAAGAATTTAGGAAGGAATGAGGAGGGTCGGGTACACTGCCTAGCTGTTAGCTGGCTAAGTGCAATTGCTATCTGACCGGAAGGAAAGCTGAGAGCCAATGTCTTCCTTATGAAAAGAAGCATCACCAGAGCCTGGCGCTGGGGGCTCCCGCCTGTCATCCCAGCTACTCAGGAGGCTGAGATCCCAGGATCGTGGTTCAAAGCCAGGAGTCTGAGCTCCAAGAAACCACCAGAAAACCAGAGGTGGAGCCGTGGCTCACGTGGTAGCGCATTTGCCTTGAGTGAAAGAGCTCAGGGACAGCGCCCAGGCCCGGAGCTCAAGCCCCATGACCAACAGAAATAAATGAAAAACAAAAAATAAATACCAGCTGAGCTGGGTGCGGCTCACGCTTATCATCCTAGCTGCTGGGGAGGAGGAGGAGGGAGCCGGGATGGAGGCCCACGGCCAGCCAGGGCCCAGGCCCGCAGGGCCATCTCCAATTAACACGCACGATGCCCCTCCCGGCAGGAAGGCGGAGGGCCGGCCGCTGGACTCTGCCGTGGGGAAGGCTCGCCCACGGGCACGGCCCGCTTCCCCTACTCACATGTCTTCAGGCATCCAGTGAAGAAGGAGCTTTATCTTTCCAGAATCCTCTTTTCTCTTCGCTATTACCTAGTAGGGAGAGACAGGAAGGGAAAGAAAAAGTCCACAATGCTGGGTGCAACATCAGTTTCGGGCACTGTCCTAGGCACCCCGGGCCCCACTCAGTCTCTGGCTTAAGCTTCACAGATCGGGATGGCCCCAGGATTTGCGGGGGAGGGGTTAACAGTGAGAATTTCATTCAAATGGCAACATTTTTTACCAGTCCTGGGGCTTGAACTCAGGGCCTGGGCGCTGTCTGAGCTGCTTTTGCTCAAGGCTAGTACTCTACCACTTGAGCCACAGCGCCACTTCCGGCTTTTTCTGCTGATGTGGTACTAGGGAATCGAACCCAGGGCCTCATGCATGCGAGGCAAGCGCTCTACCACTGAGCCACCTGCCCAGCCATGCAGACGTATCTTCGCTGCAAGCACCATTTACTGCATCTACATACTAACTCCCCCCCCCCCACACACACGTATTGGCCCAAAAGACACAAAAAACAAAGCACGACACGGAAACCCCCAGAAGAATGGTGGTCAGGGGCCAGTCCCAGCAGAGCAAGAGCAAAAGAGCTGGTATGGCAGCCTACAAGCACAGAGGCCCCGGGTTCGATTCCCAGTCCCCGGGTTTTCTCCCGCCCCCAAGTGCTTTCCCAGCTTCCGCGCTAGCCAGGGCACACCCCTAAGAATGGGCTGCGCTGGCGGCTGCCCACACTTTCACTAGTTACATTCATTGTAGTGTACAGCCATCTTTTTTCATTTTCTTTCCACTGGCCTGCTTTCTTCTCTGGTTTGTATTAACACCCAACACACAGCAGGGCCTCAGATTTAAGGGAGCAAAACAGTGCCTGGTGTCCGTGTCTCAGGCCAGCGACTCCAGCCCTGCAGAGCCGAGGCCTGCCTCAGGTGGTAGAGTGTCACCAGCCAATCAGGAAAAGCAATCGGATACCAAGTCTGAGTCCCCGTCTCAGACCACGAAAAAGGCAAGCTGAGATTTGGAGGACCTCTATCTACTTGAGGCCAGGCAGAATTCACTAGACTCCATCTCCAAAATAGCCAACATAAAGTCAGGCTAGGGCTGGGCAGGTAGCTCAGTGGTAGAGTACTCGCCTAGCCTGTGTGAAGCCCTGGGTTCGATTCCTCAGCACCACCATACCCAGAAAAAGCTGGAAGTGGCGCTGTGGCTCAAGTGATAGCGTGCTAGCCTTGAGTAAAAGTTCAGGGACAGCACCCAGGCCCTGGGTTCAAGCCCCAGGACTGGCACAAAAAAAGTCAGGCCAGAGGTATGGCTTAAGCGCTAAAGCATCAGCAGAGGAAAAGCAACTGGGAGACTGGGTCCAAACCCTAATGCCAGCAAAGGGAAACGGGAGAGAGACGTAGTTTGGTTTGTCTATTGAGACTGTTTTAGAAAGCAGGAGTAAGACTGACTGATGCGAGGCGCCGTGGCTCACGCCTGTCATCCCAGCTGCTCGAGCCTGAGATCTGAGATCACAGTTCAAAGCCAGCCCAGGCAGGAAAGTCAGTGAGACGCTGATCTCCAACGAACCACCAGAAAACCCAGAAGTGGCGCTGTGGCTCAAGGGGTAGAGCGCCAGCCTTGAGTGAAAGAGCTCAGGGACAGCGCCCAGGACCCTGAGTTCAAGCCCCACCACCGACGACAACAACAACAACAACAAAATGGAAATGTGATGGTGAAAGGCCCAATCCATTCCTTGCTCTTGATACTCACAGTACTATGGAAGACCACACTGTGGCCCTTGCCCAAGCTCTCTATGTGGGCGGAGAGGTTAAAGCATATAGCTCGGTGTCGGATGGCGTCCAGGGTCTGGGCATCGAAGAAGTCGTGTGGTCGAGCTACAAGGCAGCACAGAACATCAACAGTTAGGAAGGCAAAGGATCGTGAGGAAAACCTAACAGTCCAGGCTGGGCAGGCGGCTCAGTGGTAGAGCGCTCGCCTCGCATGCATGAGGCCCTGGGTTCGATTCCTCAGCACCCCAGACACACAAAAGGCTGGAAGTGGCGCTGTGGCTCAAATGGTACAGCGCTAGCCTTGAGCAAAAGGGAAGCCATTTCCTAACACCGTGGTGGACTGAGGAAAGCCCCGCAAGAGCTAAGCCTGGGGGTCACATGACTCCTGCCCCCCTCCGGGGCCACTCACGCAGCGACCGCCGCCTCTTGTTCCTCAGCTTCCGCCTCTTGTTCACGCCAGCCTTCGAAGGAGATTCTTCTTTGGCCTTGGGCTGGCTGGACACCTTGGACGAGTTCTGCTGGCTGAAGTGCGTGGGCACGTGGCGCGCGAGCCCCCCCTGCGACGCGAAGCTGGAGCTGCAGCCGCCCACCACGCACTGCAGACACAAAGACGGGCGCGGGCTGAGCCCGGGCACGGCAGCGGGGCAGCGCCCACCGCGGCCAGGGGAGAGTCCCCGGGACACCAGCTGCCTCCCGCCCTACGGCCGAGCACGCCCGCAGAACACTCCTGAAACCTGCGACGCTCTTTAGTGGGAAGATGCCTCTCGGCTCGATCCTGTGTGCACGCCTAACAGTTCTGTCACCAGCAAGTCGCTTTCTAGATGATTCTCCAGCCGGGACCCTTGGCTCAGACCTGATAAGCTACTCTGGAGGCTGCGATCCAAAGATCAGAGCTCAAATACTGCAGAGATGGTAACTGTGTGTTCAAAACCCACTGTGTACACAGGTGAAAATATCCTGTTTCAAAGGTATCTGGGTGTTTTTAGTGCTGATCCCAGAGCTAGAACTCGGCCTGGGCGCTGTCCCTGAGCTTTTTTGCTCAAGGCTGTAGTACTCTACCACTTGAACCACAGCTCCACCTTATTTTTTGGTGGTTAATTGGAGATAAACTTTTATGGACTTTCCTGCCAGGGCTGCCTTCAAGCTGCGATTCCCAGGTCTCAGCCTCCTGAGTAGCTAGGATGACAGGCGTGAGCTGGGCTTTATTATTTTATTTTTTGGTCGGTCCTGGGGCTTGAACTCAGGGCCTGGGCGCTGTCCCTCAGCTCTTCAGCTCAAGGCGAGCGCTCTACCACTTGAGCTACAGCGCCACTTCTGGTTTTCTGATGGTTTATTGGAGATAGGAGTCTCACAGTCTTTCCTGCCCGGGCTGGCTCTGAACCACGATCCTCAGATCTCAGCCTCCTGAGTAGCTAGGATTACAGGAGTGAGCCACCGCGCCCAGCTGTAAGCTGGGCTGTATAAAGGTATCTTAACTCAAGAACAAAAAAAAAAGGAAGGAAAAGAATGAGACATGTTTATGTCCTGTCTGTAGTTCTATGAAAAAAACACTAGGGGGCTGGGCAGGTGGCTCAGTGGTAGAGCGCTCGCCTAGCATGCAGGAAGCCCTGGGTTCCATTCCTCACTACCACATATGCAGAAAAAGTGGCGCTGTGGCTCAAGTGGTAGAGTGCTAGCCTTGAGCAAAAGAAGCTCAGGGACAGTGGGTGCCCAAGCCCTGAATACAAGGCCCAGGAGTAGTGAGAGAGGAAGGGGGGGGGAAGGAAGAGAGGGAGAGGGAAAAAGGGAGAGAGGGAGAAAGGGAGAGAGAGAGTACTAGAATTCACTCGACACGAAGCGTGGGGGTGATGGGCTTCTACGGAAGGAAGTGTTTTGGGGTCTCACCATGTTGCTGCCTTACCCCTGGCCTCCTGTCTCAAGCCATCTGCCCATCAGCCTGCGCTGGGGCTGCAGGCATGCACAACTAAGCACCTTGCTAAACACGTGCTTACATCCTCTTACAAACGCTACCAACAGTCCTCTCAGAAAGCACTCAGTGATTCGCACTCCAAACCCACCAGCATTACTCATTCTCTGACAAGACCCGAGGGGGAAGGTTCTGGCACAGTACCGACATTCCAGCCCAGCTTAGGGTTTTAACAAGCATTGAACTTCTTTAAACAAACACCTTTCAACCCGGTGGTATTCGTGTTTTCTGTATTTAGAAATCAAACGAGTGTGTCTAATTTTCATCAAGCTAACTGGGGAAACAACTGTTGCTGAAACTTGCTGCTTATGGTGATTCCCCAGAACACGTCTATAAAGTCGTTTAGGACTAACTAGCCTCTGCTGATACGCTGTTCCTTGCTAGTAACTGCCAGTAAGAGGGAAGCCCCTGGCAGGGAGAAAATGTAATCAGACCACACGGTACCGACGACACTCTGCTCTCCCAAGGAGCCAGGCATGGTGCGCATGCGTGCAATCCCCGCCGGCGGGATCCCGTGGCAGAACCACAAATCTGAAACCAGCTTCAGCTGCACAGCGCGACCCGGACTCAAAAGAGAAAAAGAAAAAGGAAATCTCCTCCAGCCGGGGGCTGGTGGCGCAGGCCTGTCACCGCAGCTACACAGTGCGCCGAGATCTGAGGATCGTGGTTCAAGGCCAGCCCAGGGAAAGCAAGCCCCTGAGACTCTTCTCACCAAAAACCACGAGAAAGATCCAGAAGTGGCACTGTGGCTCAAGTGGGAGAGCACTAGCCCTGAGGAAAAGAAGCCCAGGGACGGCACCCGGCCCTGAGTTTGAGCCCCGGATGGGCACTCAATTGACGGAGACATGGCGGGGGGTCAGGGCTGGTGGCTAAGGGTGAGGCCATGCATGGGGGGGAAGGGGAGGGGAGGGGGAGGGCTGCAGCAGCACGTACCTTGAAGGGCCGGTCGCCACTGTGTGTGAGCACGTGTCTCTGCAGCCAGCTCTGGCTGGTGGAGGGCGTGTTGTACACTTTGCAGCCCTTCCACAAGCACACGAACACCTGTCCAAACGAGAGCCGCAGGTGTCAGTCGCTCGAGCGAGGGTCCACACACTCCAAGCCCTGGCGGTGCGTCTCCAGAGAGCAGCGTCCTGATGTCCTGATGTCTGAACCAGTGCTTCACCCAGCACCCCACCCCACCCCGCCCACCCGCAAGTGTCCACTGTGAGGAAACACCTGAAGCATTAACATGGTATCTCCATGGGCGTTGGAGGCTCCCGCCTGGCATCCCAGTACTCAGGGGGCTGAGATCTGAAGGTCGTGGTTCAAAGCCAGCCTGGGCAGGAAAGTCTGGGAGACTCTGATCACCAATAAACCACCAGAAAACCAGAAATGGAGCTGTGGCTCAAGTGGTAGAGCACTTGCCTTGAGTGAAAGAGCTCAGGGACAGCGCCCAGGCCCTGAGTTCAAGACCCACAACAACAAAAATCTAGATGCTGCACATTAATGGCTCACACCTGTCATCCCAGCCACTGAAGAGGCTGAGATCTAGAGGATCGCGGTTCAAAGCCAGCCAGGAAAGTCCATGAAACTCTTACCTCCAATGAACCACCAGAAAACCAGAAATGGAGCTGTGGCTCAAGTGGTAGAGCACTTGCCTTGAGTGAAAGAGCTCAGGGACAGCGCCCAGGCCTGAGTTAAAGACCACCACCACCACCACCAATCTAGATGTTACCCCCCAGTGGCTCACGCCTATCATCCCAGCTACTCCAGAGGTTGAGATCTGAGGATCTCAGTCCAAGGTCAACCTGGAGGGAGTCTGTAACTCACCAGCTCAAGTGGTAGAGCACTAGCCTTAGGTACAGAAGTGAAAGGACAGCGCGCAGGCCCGATATGTAACCACAACTACATCTAGACGCTAAACCATAACTGTGGGAACCTCAGCACTGTGGGATGGGGGGCGGGGGGGGCTGGCGGGGGGGGCAGGGCGCCCGGCCGGGCGTGTGAGATCAAGCCTGAGACCCCCCAGAAACATTTAAGAACGAGATAGAAAAGCTGGGGGGAGGGGAGAGAACGCCATGGGAACGCATGCTGCCCGTCACCCGCCGACCACGGGTCAGACTCCAGCTCCAGTGCTCGCCCCAACCGTCCACAAGCAGCAGGGCCTGGGGGGAAGTTCCCTCACACAGGAGTCCTGGGAATACTCCAGCCCGGGGAAAAGCTAGGACTCCCTCCTCCCGCACACCCGCAGCCTCTACGCGCAGCCTAGCCTCCGCACAGGAGAAGCCAGTCCCCCCCCCCACGCCTTCAAGCACGCCTGCCAGTCAGCGCGCGTGGCGGGCGGGACACCAACCGTCCAGGAGACATGCGCAGTGGCGGCCACTACCTGCAGCCTGGTGACCTGAGGGGAAACCAAGCGGATGCGGACAAGCAAGTTCAGCACCCCAGGGTGAAAGTTCTCCCTGATGCCGGAGAGCCGGGTGAGCAGGCTCACCGCTGCTGTCTTAGTGCCAGGGAATGTTAACAACAGGGGATCGCAGTCCCAGCCCAGCCCAGGCAGAGACGCTGCAGAGAGCCTCTCTCAAAAACTGACCTACCAAAGCCGGGTGCCAGTGGTTCACACCTGTCATCCCAGCTATTCGGGACTGAGATCTGCGGATCGTGGTTCAAAACTAGCCTGGGCAGGAAAGTCTGTGAGACTCTGATCTCCAATAAACCACTCAGAAAACCGGAAGTGGCACAGTGGCTCAAGTGGTAGAGCGCCAGCCTTGAGCGAAGAGCCGAGGGACAGTGCCCGGGCCCAGAGTTCAAGCCCACAAACAACAACAACAACAAAAACCCTAACCTACAAGCTGGGCATTGGTGGCTCACGCCTGTCATCCTAGCTAGGAACTGAGATCTGAAGATCACGGTTCAAAGCCAACCTGACAGGCAATTAACTCCCTGTGAGACTCTGATCTCCAATGAACCACCAGAAAACCGGAAGTGGTGCTGTGGCTCAAGTGGTAGAGCGCCAGCCTTGGCCTGAAGAGCTGAGGGACAGCGCCCAGGCCCAGAGGTCAAGCCCCATGACCAACAAAAAAACAAAACAAAACTGACCTACAGAAAAACTTGGGCTGGAGGTGTTGGTACCAGCCTAGTAAGTGAGAGGCCAAGTTCAAACTATAGTACTGTCTCCAGCCCTCTGGCCAAAAATAAAAAGATGATAACCCTGTAGAAGGTGGTTCTTTAATCCATCTTTGCACAAGTGCAGTCTTGACAGTAAAAGCTCACGTGACAGAACAGGGGATCCCCAAGAACACCAAACTGCCCCGGGCCTGCGTTTCCTTTCCAAAACCGGTCTTTGTCTGAAATTGGACAGGACGATCTTCAAAGCCGAGACCGTGGCTCAGGCTCAATCTGTGAAGACGGCGCTTTGTCACTGGGGGTGGAATTTCAGGTCTGTGGTTTCCTATTTTTAGTTATTACTTTTTTTTTTTTTGCTAAGTCTTTGGGCTTAAACTCAGGGCCTGGGCGCTGTCCCTGAGCTTCTTTCGCTCAAGGCTGGCGCTCTACCGCTTGAGCCACAGCTCCACTTCCAGTTTTCTGGTGGTTCATTGGAGATCAGTCTCATGGATGTTCCTGCCCGGGCTGGCTTTGAACCATGATCCTCAGATCTCAGCCTCCTGAGTAGCTGGGATGACAGGCGTGAGCACCAGCGCCCGGCTTGAGAAACATTCTCCCAGGCTCAATGTGGGGACCACTGTCACGCCAGCCGGTCCCACACGCTACGGCAACGTAAGCAATATAGTCTCAGAAAGACTGGATGGAAGATGGCTCTCTCAACGAGGAGGAGAGGGTAGGGGCCACAGCTGTGAGCAGACACGTGCGTGGAGGGCGGACGTGGGAGGCAGGGAGACAGGACACCCGCCGGGGGCAGAGGCCGCGACCAAGCACCCGCGTGCTGCTGGCGCGCCTGCAGCCAGCCCCCAGGGGGCTCTGCCTTTCTGTGGGGCTGCACCGCCAGCCCCGCAGCCTCCCTGGGTGGCTTTCCCTTCCAGGATAGCCTGAGAGCCCTTGGGCAGGGCCAAGGCCGAGGGCTGAGATCCCCGCCGCATCCCGGAGGTTCTATCATGGAGGTGGGGAACATCAACCCTGGGTAGAAGGGAACCCCGCTATCAAGAGAAAAACCAAGTCTACTGCGCCACCACGAAGCCATACCCAGCCCAGGAGGGGGAGCGGGCGGAGGGAGGGAGGGAGGGGAGAGGCGGGGGGGGGGGGGGGACGCACCCCTCCGCGCTGGCCGTCCACGTGCAGCGAGCGGATGTGCTCGGCCAGGTCGGGGCTGGAGGAGAAGCAGGCCTGGCACTGGTCCCAGCAGCAGCTGTAGGCGAGGCTTTTGCTGGCAGAGGTGGTGCTGCCCTGGCCGTTCATCATGGCGGGCGTGGAGCGCCCACTGGAGACCGTGCTGTCCACGTCCATGATCGTGCTGCTGATGCTGCACACAGAGGAGAGAGAAGAGAAGAGAAGCCGCGTCAGCCCACCACACCTCCGCAGCCTCGAGGCGGCCCGCAACATGCCGCTCCCCGAACAGAGCTGTGGCTCAAGTGGTAGAGCGCCAGCCTTGAGTGAAGAATCTCAGGGACGGCGCCCACCCAGGCCCCGAGTTCAGGCCCCATGACAAACAAAAAGAAAATAGTCATGCTTTGAAATGAGCAGCAGTACCCGGGCGCCGCTGCTCACGCCTGTCATCCCAGTGACTCAGGAGGCTGAGATCTGAGGATCGTGGTTCAAAGCCAGCCCCGGGCAGGAAATTTCATGAGACTCTGATCGCCAAGAAACTACCAGAAAACCAGAAGTGGCGCTGTGGCTCAAGTGGTAGAGCGCCAGCCTTGAGCTGAAGAGCTCAGGGACAGCGCCCAGGTCCTGAGTTCAAGCCTCAAGACTGACCAAGAAAAAAATACAAGGTGAGCAGCAATAAGTACAAATGAACGCACAAATAGAAGTGTGTCTCTAAACTATACGTGTGTACACACATATATATACACACACACACACACACATACACACACACACAGGTTCATTTCAGTAGCTTCCCAAAGGTATGGACTACCAACTCTACAGATAGAACCCTAACCCATGCCCACACACAGTTCACCCATGCGCTCTCTCTCCCATAGTTCCAGGAAATCTGAGAGAGCCGTCCTTCCAAGGTGTCCGCAATTCAATCAAAACATTACTTCACAGAGCCTGAAATCATTTCTATTTACAATCTGACCATTAAACCACTTCCACCCATCTCAAAAGAAAGAGCCAGGCGCTGGCGGCTCACACCTGTCATCCCAACTAGTCAGGTGGCTGAGATCTGAGCCAGCCAGGCCAGCAAAGTCCCCGTGAGACTTTTCCCTTTTTGCCAGTCCCGGGGCTTGAGCTCAGGGCCTGGGCTCTGTCCCTGAGCTCTTCAGTTGAAGCCCCACAATAACAATAACAACAACAACAACAACAACAAAGAATTCAGTTTCAGGCTGGGGCACTAATAGCTCAGGACTGGAGTGTTTGTCTAGCCTGTGTGAGGCCCTGGATTGCATCTCCAACACCACGCGTGTGCGTGTGCACGTGCATGCATGCGTGCGCACATGCACACGCACACACGCACGCACGCACACACACACACACACAGTGTGCGTAAATCTGCATGATCTCTTCCTATTAGCTCTAACATTATTCTCCTAAATCAGGTGGAAATTGCTAACGTGACACTCGGTGACCATCGTGGGTCTTGTTGAGTTAGCGAGCAGGTTTTGTAGTCATCGGCGTGGACCATCAATGGCGCGCGTGTTTCTGCCGGGCAGGCCGTGGGGGGAATGTGGGCTGGGCCCTGCTGGGCAGCGGCTCTCCCCCGTGAGCCCTTCCCTTCACCCTGCACGCGCCCATCTTGAAAAAGTTAACAGAAAGAAGACAGAAGGGGAGGCCCGCGCTGCTGGAAGGGACGTAGCGCGCGGCCGCCGGCCGGCCGCCATCGACGTAGGTGTGCATCCCACCTCGCGCTGCTCCACTCTAAAGCGTGTCTGCAGCGCCTCTGAGGGCGCTTCACGCATGGCCTGCGGGAATCAAGCGCAGGTGGTTCCGCGGCTCCCGGGGGCCTCCCCGCCGTCCTCATCCTCTCCTCACCGCCTGCCGTGCGCACATCCAGCTCCAGCGCGGGAGAAACAGAGCCCACCAACCCAAGCCAGGGCCCACACTGTGGCCATCGCGGGCACGCGCGCGTGCCCCGGGGGAAGACGGCAAGACCAGCCTGTCCAGGGACAGACTCGGGGAAACAGACAGACAGGCAGACAGACAGGCAGGCAGACAGACAGACAGGCAGGCAGGCAGACAGACAGACAGGCAGGCAGACAGGCAGGCAGACAGACAGACAGGCAGGCAGACAGGCAGGCAGACAGACAGGCAGACAGACAGACAGGCAGGCAGGCAGGCAGGCAGGCAGGCAGACAGACAGACAGACAGACAGACAGGCAGGCAGACAGGCAGGCAGGCAGACAGACAGGCAGGCAGACAGGCAGACAGACAGGCAGACAGACAGGCAGACACAGACAGGCAGACAGACAGGCAAGCAGACAGACACAGACAGGCAGGCAGACAGGCAGGCAGGCAGGCAGGCAGGCAGGCAGGCAGACAGGCAGACAGGCAGGAAGACAGGCAGACAGGCAGGTAGACAGGCAGACAGACAGGCAGGCAGGCAGGCAGGCAGACAGGCAGACAGACAGGCAGACAGACAGACAGGCAGGCAGGCAGGTAGACAGGCAAACAGACAGACAGACAGACAGACAGACAGACAGACAGACAGACAGACAGACAGGCAGACAGACAGGCAGGCAGACAGGCAGACAGACAGGCAGGCAGGCAGGGCTGCCCGCCGATCCTATCCTCTTGAGAAGGATACACACACCACGCTGCTGCTGCGCTGAATGAATGAATGAAACTCCGAGGGTGCCATTGTTTTTCCTGAGACACTCTCTGTGCGTCCCAGGCTGACCTCCTAACGCAGAGTCCTCATGCCCCACCTCCTGCACGTGTACAACAGCCAGGTTGTGAAAAAGCCCTAGCCACACCCACTTCTGTGCCAGGACCGAGACTCGAACTCGGGGCCTGGGCACTGTCCCTCAGTTTTTCCACTTGAGGCGCGCGCGCGCTACCACTTGAGCCACAGCTCCACTTCCGGGTTTCCTGGTGGTTCATTGGCGACGTAGAGTCTCCAACCTCGATCCTCAGATCTCAGCCTCCTGAGTAGCTGGGATGACAGGCGTGAGCCACTAACACCCGGTGCTAGCCCATTTAAGTCGTCCCCCCCTCTCCGGCCTCCCCCCCCCCCCCCCCGGGGCCTCCAGCTGCCTGTGATGAAGGAAAGCCGCAGAAACCCGGGGACCACAGCAGAGATGAGCTAGTGCAGACTGCAGTCTCTAGACAGCAAGAGGATGAGAACTAGCCAAGCACCCCGGCTCGCTCAGCCGGGGGCTGCCAGCGCTCACTTCCTGCTCCTCTGAAAGGCGGCCGCCTGAGCAGCCTGGCTGCTAGTGGAGGAAATGCTAAGCACTGAGCGCACGCACAACGCCCCTTGCTCTGGAAGGCTGAGGCGGGCCTGGCTGAGGCTGGGCCTCGCTTCCTGCCTCCTCCAGGCCAGGGTGGAGGAGCAGCAGCAGCTGGCACTGTGAGGAGGAGGTGTAACTCAGCAGGAGGCCCAGGCTTCGCACACGAGGCAGATGGAGTTATGGGATGTACGTTCAGATACAGTAAATAGATAGGCAGACAAACAGATAGATTACATAGGCAGGCAGGCAGACAGACAGACAGGCAGAAACACAGATGAACTTGTCTTAAGAGTAAGACATCTGGCCAGGCACTGGTGGCTCAGGCCTGTCACCCCAACTACTCTGGAGGCTGAGATCTGAGGATCGTGGTTCAAAGCCAGCCTGGGCAGGAAAGTCCCTGAGACTCTCATCTCCAAGGAACCACCAGAAAACCAGAAGTGGCACTGTGGCTCAAGTGGTAGAGCTCTATCTAGCCTTGAGCAGAAGAGCTCCGGGATAGTACCCAGGCCCAGAGTTCAAACCCCATGACTGACAAAAAGGAAAAAAAAAAAAAGAGTAAGACATGTGGACCACGTCACATTTCTGGCAAAGCCATCTCGTTTAACCTTCTAAAGCACTCTGCATAGGACTAGGGGCATGGCTCAAGAGGTAGAGCACCAGCCATGCACAAGAAGAGGGCTTCAGGCCTAGAGCTCAAACAACTCAGAAACAATTAGGAGGAACAATGGGGCCGAGCCCCTCCCTCTCAGATGGCTGTTATGCATTTCCCTAAGGAGCTTCCTTCCCTGGGGGGTGGAGGGGGGTAAGTCTGCTCCCTGTGACCCAATTAATTTGCACCATGAATCCTCTGTAAAAGTCACCGAGTGCCAACTCCAAATCTAGCTAGTGCCTCACTCAGAGAAGGGCCAGTGGTAGTGACAAATCCAAGACAGACTGTAAAAATAAGACACATGGCTTGGTGACAGAAGCAACCATAAAAAAAATTAATCAGAGTCACAAAAACAATCACTAGCCAAAACAAAGATGGTATTATTACTATCATTACTGTAATTACAGGCCATTATTACTATAATCCGGAAGAGCTGAAATAGATTTTTCTAATCAAGACTGCACTGTCCCCACAATTATCCTCTAGCCAAAAACACAAACGACTTTCTCCCCACAACCCGCACGCACAAATTGGCCAGAAGGGATTTCATGCAACCATGATGCAACAGGGCCGAGAGGCAGGTGCCCTATCCGCACCACGCCAGACCCTAAGCGCCACGCCAGACCCTAAGCGCCACGCCAGACCCTAAGCGCCACGCCAGACCCTAAGCGCCACGCCAGACCCTAAGCGCCACGCCCAGCCCACCATGAGCTTTCTCTTCCCACGTTTTTCAATCTACCTGAAGAGATCATTAAGTGATTACCTTCAAAAGATCCTAATGCTTCAATAAAACTACACCAACCACTTCCCCAGCTAGGGCGCTGCTCAGTGGCTCACGCCTGTAATCCCAGCTACTCAGAAGGCTGAGATCTAAGGGTTGTAGTTCAAAGCCAGCCAAGGCATCTCCCATTATACACAAAAACACTGGAAGTGGAGCTATGGCTCAAGTAGTAGAGCACTAGCCTTGAGCACAAGAGCTCTGTTTGTCTGTTTGTATTTTTTGGTCAGCTGTGGGGCCTGAACTCTGGGCCTGGGCACTGTCCCTCAGCTCTTCAGCTCAAGGCTAGCACCCTACCACTTGAGCCACAGCGCCACTTCCCACTTTTTCTGCTCATATGGTGCTGAGGAATCGAACCCAGGGCCTCATGCATGCGAGGCAAGCACTCTACCACTGAGCCAATTCCCCAGCCCCAGCACAAGAGCTCTGAACAATGCCTGGGCCCTGAGTTCAAGCCCCAATACTGAAACAAAGATAAATAAATCTACCACACCTCTATCAAATACCGATATTAAGACTCTCAGCTGGGTGCCAATGGCCACCAGAATCTCAGAATCTTGGTCTGAAAGGACTTGGGCAGAAAAGTCAGCAAAACTCTACGTCCAGGGCTGGGCATGTGGCTCAGTGGGAGAATGCTCGCCTAGCATGCATGAAGCCCTGGGTTGGATTCCTCAGTACCACATACACAGAAAAAGCCACAAGTGGAGCTGTGGCCCAAGTGGTAGAGCACCGGCCTTGAGCAAAGAAGCTCAGGGACAGCGCCCAGGCCTGAGATCAAGGCCCAGGACTGGCCAAACAGCAGGTGAGGTGCGTCAGGCCTTGAGTTCTGGCCCCAGGAATACAAAGGACTGTCTGGGGCCAGCCAAGCCAGGGATGTGAGGCCACGCCCCCTCGCTTCCAACAAGAGCGAATCCCCACACACTGGCAGGAACTCGAACCCCAAAGCCAACAAGGACAGGGTTCGGAATGATCAAAACCACAAGCCAGTTTCACAGTCAGCTCTCCTTCACGAATGATTCACGGGCTGCTGGATGAGTCGCCTCTCACGCTCTGCCTTGCCCTCTCGTGCTTCAGCGTTAAGAAAAGCAAGTGTGTGTGGTTAGACAAGTTTCGACCTTATTTGGACTTATGACACCCATCTTAACCCCTTCCTTCCTGTGAGACATGAGGTAAAAATCAGACACTCACTACCATCGAATGAAACCCAAACTTCACTCGCTGAAATAACACTTGATAGTTAATTGGTATTTAATCTCTTGCCTCTTGAAGGCAAGAGATGGAAGGGACAGATACAAATTAAAACAAAACAAGATGACCCAGACCACCCTATTGCTTACTCCTGTGCCAGTTCTGGGACTTGAACTCAGGGCCTGGGCACTGCCCCTGAGCTTTTTTGCTCAAGGCTAGCGCTCTACCCTGTGAGCCACAGCACTGCTTCCCGCTTTCTCTGTGATTTCAGTGGAGGCCAGAGTTCCACCGACTTTCCTGCCTGGACTGGCTTCAAACCTCAGTCCTCAGATCTTAGCTCTGGAGGAGCTGGGATGACAGGCGTGAGCCACAGAACCCGGCCCACCTGTTATTTATGTCTTCTGAGCCCTGCAGGGTGGAACCAGTTCTGGGAGCCTGTTTCTGTCGGGCTCCACCGGTCCAGGCCACAGGTGAAGCCAAGGGTCACCGGGCTTGCGTCATGGGCTAGGTGGGCTAGGTGGAGTCTGTGACACCAGTTGGGAAAGCTGGAGGTGGAGACAGCGGAAGGCGGGCTCAGGCGGGTTCAATGTGGAGCCCACATCGATCTCGTCTCTCCAAAGGACAGGCAGCCAGTGGAGACTCCCGCCTGCCACCCTTGCGACTCAGGAGACTGAGATCTGAGGATCATTAGTTCTAAGCCAGCCCAGGCAGCAAGGAGACGCTAATGAACCAGTAAAAAGCCAAAAGTGGAGAAGTGGCTGAAGTGGTTCAACTCCAGCGTTGAGCAAAAGAAAGCACACTAGAGCACCCAGGCCCCGAGTCCCAGCCCCCGTTTTGGCACAAAACCAAACAAATTCATTTCCTAAAGCTATTCCCACCTACCTTCTCCGATCCAGCTTGGCCCAGGTCAGAGGCTTACATTTCAATTCACTTTCTGAAGGAGGCACTCAGCATGTGGTTAAACACAAACACAAAAAAGCCTGAGGTTTGGATTTCTCAAAATACGTTCTCAGGATATTCCAATCATCCCAAAGATTCCTCGTAGCTCTGACTACAGGGGTCCTGTTGATCAGTTAGCCACTCTCTCAACGTTCCAACGTGTCTGCTTTTAAACCCCGAGCCCTTGGTCCAGCCTGAGTTCCACACACAGACCCTGCCCTCAAAACAACGCAAAATCCTACTGCTAGAAATCCTACTGCTTGCCAGAACATCAGCCGAGGGCCAAAACAAATGTGAATACACTTTGGAAGCGTGATTCGCCTTTTTAACACATTAAAAACCGACTCCTGAAAACACGATGTTTTCCGAAAACCTTCCAAGTAGTGAGCGGTGGAGGGGGGCGCATCTGCAACCGCAGCGACTCAGGAGGCCGAGATCTGAGCCCTGCCACGCACCGTGAGCTTGGGGAGAAAAATCTGAGAGACTCTCATCTCCCGTGGACCACCAAAAAGCCGGGAGGGGAGCTGTGAGGAGCCCACGCGGCAAAGTGCTCATCTCCAGCAAAAGCAGCTCAGGGACAGCGCCGGGCCCTGAGTTCAAGCCCCAGGACCTGCACCAAAAAAAAAAGAGTGCTGAAGTAATGAGAGCAACATGGGAAACATTTCTGCAACGTCTGGGGGAAGAAGGGCTGCGCTGTGCTGCCCTCATTATTTCCAAGAAGCTTTAAAAAAAGTACGCTGAGGAAGTGGCGCTGTGGCTCAAGTGGTAGAGCGCTCGGCTTGAGCTGAAGAGCCCAGGGACGGCGCCCAGGCCCGGAGTTCAAGCCCCACGACCAACAACAACAAAATGTACACACACACACACACCACAACTGCACACGACTTCAACAACTGCCACTATGGAAGCAGGGTGGTGTCAGGCCTCACTTCTTACCTTCTGACCATGTCACTACAGTCCCACCCGGGTGGGGGGGGGGACTCTGCAGAGCTCTCCCACTGGGGTCTGACCTGCGCTGTGGGGCCTGACTGTGGGGTCTGACCTGCGCTGTGAGGTCTGACTGTGGGGTCTGACCTGCGCTGTGAGGTCTGACTGTGGGTCTGACCTGCACTGTGGGGCCTGACCTGCGCTGTTGAGTCTGACTGTGGGGTCTGACCTGCACTGTGGGGTCTGAACTGGGGTCTGACCTGCACTGTGGGGTCTGAACTGGGGTCTGACCTGCGCTGTGGGGTCTGACTTGCACTGTGGGGTCTGATTATGGGTCTGACCTGTGCTGTGGGGTCTGACTTGCACTGTGGGGTCTGATTATGGGTCTGACCTGCGCTGTGGGGCCTGACCTGCACTCCAGGCCTCTCCCGGACCCCCGACTGGCCACATGGGACCCGGCTCTGGCCTTGACCACTGCACCCCTGTCCCAGGGAGGGTCGGCCTCTCCTCACTCTTTCTCTCAGATCCCAAAGTCTAGGCAGAGAGGCTGAAGCCACCAGTGGCACTGGGAGGCTCAGAGCAACGCCCAGAGGTGACCAGCAGATGTAAGTCGGAGCAGCACAGGAGCCCCCACCCAGAGGAGCCCAGTGAGCGCGGCCAGAAGTTCTGCCGACCCCCAGGGTGGGCGGGGCTGACCTGGGTACCCTGTCTGGAGTCCTGGGGTCCCAGGCCGGGCACAGAGTCCCTCCGAAGCCCGGGGAGGGTAAAGGGAGGAGGGTTACAGTGGCATCAAGGCCCCTAGATCCTCCCCCCCACCCCTCCCCGCGAGAAGGGCAACGGGGGGGGGGGTACGGAGGCCTAGAGCCCCCTCGATCCCCGGCGAGAGGAGCAGGGGAGCGGGTACTGGGGACAGGGCGGCGGGAAGTCCCTGAATCCCCCGTGGAGGCCCGGGAAGGGGACTGGGGCCAGGGCGGGGCACAGCCCCTGAGCCCTCGGAGGCCCGGGAAGGGGACCAGGGGACAGGGGGGAGAAGAGTCCTCCAAGGGAACCGGGGGCCGGGACGGCGCACAGGCCCCGATCACCAGGAGGCCCGGGGAGGGGACCGGGGTCCGGGACGGCGCACAGGCCCCGATCACCGGGAGGCCCGGGGAGGGGTCCGGGGTCCGGGACGGCGCACAGGCCCCGATCACCGGGAGGCCCGGGGAGGGGTCCGGGGTCCGGGACGTAGCACAGCCCCCGATCGCCACTGGGAGGCCCGGGGAGGGGTCCGGGGTCCGGGACGTAGCACAGCCCCCGATCGCCACCGGGAGGTCCGGGGAGGGGACCGGGGTCCGGGACGGCGCACAGGCCCGCGATCGCCACCGGGAGGCCCGGGAAGGGGTCCGGGGTCCGGGCCGGCGCACAGGCCCCGATCACCAGGAGGCCCGGGAAGGGGTCCGGGGTCCGGGACGGCGCCCAGGCCCGCGATCGCCACCGGGAGGCCCGGGGAGGGGGGGTCCGGGGTCCGGGTCGGTTCACAGCCCCCCCCCCCCGCCGCCCGCCCCGCCCCGCGGCCCGCGCCCGCACCTGTCCTCCGAGTCCATGCGGCTGAGCGGCTCCCCGTCCGACGACATCTCCAGGCTGCCCCGGCGGCCGCCGGAGGTCGCGCTGCCGCCGCTGCCGCCGCCCCCGGTGCCGTAGCCGTCATCGCCGCCGCTCGACACCACGCTGCTGCTGCTGCTGCCGCCGCCGCCGGGGCCGCCGCTGCCGCCGCCGCCGCCGCCGCCCGGGCCGCCGGAGCCCCCGCCGCCGCCGCCGCCCGGGCCGAGGCCTCCGCCGCCGCCGCCGCCCGGGCCCAGGCCGCCGCCGCCGGGGCCGCCGCCGCCGCCGCCGCCGCCCGCCGGGCCCTGCGCCGCGCCCGGGCCGCGCCGCGCGTCGCCGTCGCCGCTGCTGCTGCTGGCGGCGCCGGGGCTGAGCGAGCGCGCCTCGTCGCCGCAGCCCTCCAGGCTCTCGGCGCTGCTCTCCTCCTCGTCCTCGTCCTCGTCGTCGTCGTCGTCGTCGTCGTCGTCGTCGTCGTCGCGGCCTCCGCGCCCGGGGCTCGGCGGCTCCGGCCGGGGCCCCGCCGCGCCGCCGCCGCCCGCGCCGCCCGCGCCCCCGGGCCGCAGCAACGCCGCCGCCGCCGCCCGCGCCGCCGCGTCCGCCGCCGCCTCGTCCTCCTCGTCGCCCCGCGCCGCCGGCCCCGGGCTGAGGCGGGAGAGTTCCTCCAGGTCGGCCATGTCGGCGAGCGCGGCGGCCATGGCGGCGCTGCTCCCCGCCGCCGCCGCCGCCGCCGCCGCCCCGCGCGCGCCGGGCCCCGCTCGCCGCCGCCGCCGCCCGCACGCACGCACGCTCGCGCCCGGCTGCCCGCCCCTCCCTGCCCGGCGCCTCGAACTCCGCCGCCGCCGCCGCCGCCGCCGAGCAGGAGGAGGGCGCGCCGGCCGCGTCAGCCTGCACACGCGCTACGGAGCCCGCGCGGGGACACACGCGCCGCTGCGCGCCTGCGCCGACGCGCCGCGCCCGCCCCGCCCCCACCCCCGCCGCCCTCTCCCACGGCCCGGCGCGGAGGCCACGCCCCCCGCCCTGCGGACACGCCCACCCCCCGGGACCCCCTCGCTCGCGTAAGCGCCGGAGGGGGGGGGACCGGAGGGGACGCTCGCTCCCTGCCTCTCACGTCCGCCGCTGGACGCGGAAGCCACGCCCCCACGTTGGTCACGCCTCCCCCGCCGCCCTTCCCAGGAGGCCACGCCCCCTAGCCCTTCTCACTCGCACAGCCAGGCGCGGAGGCCACGCCCACACGCTAGTCACGCCTCCCCGCCGCCACCCTTCCCAGGATCTGGCCCGGAGGCCACGCCCCCTCGCCCTTCTCACTCGCACAGCCAGGCGTAGAGGCCACGCCCCCTCTCATGTCCGCGGCCTGACGCGGAAGCCACGCCCCCGTAGTCACGCCTCCCCACCGCTGTTCTCCAGACTGGCCCGGAGGCCACGCCCCCCTCGCCCTTCTCACTTGCACAGCCAGGCGCGGAGGCCACGCCCCCTCTCACGTCCAGCGGCCTGACGCGGAAGCCACGCCCCCGCAGTCTCGCCTCCCCACCGCCCTTCTCCGGACTGGCCGGAAGGCCACGCCCCCTCCCGCTTCAGCCGCGCGGAGGCCGTATGCCTTCCAATCCTCTTCCTGTACTAATGCAGAGGCCACGCCCTCCGTGGCCACGCCCCCTCTGCCTTTCTGTGGCAGTACGCGGCCACACCCCCCACCGCCGCCTCACGGCCACGCCCTTGGCCACGCCCCCACCGCGCCGCCTCAGGGTCCTGGTGGAGACCACGCCCCCAGGTGTCCCGTCCTGGGAGTACCGTGGGGGTCAGGCCTCCCTTCCAGAGACACGGCTGAGACTCTTACACTTCTGATCCATCGAAGCACGGTGAGGGCCTCCATTGACGCCAGACCAGGCGGCCCGACCTCGGTGCCTCGGCCTGCGAGCCTCCAAACCCAGACCTCCCTTCCTCCCCTGCAGGCCTCTCCAGGCTCCTCAGGCCTCTCCGGAGGAGGCCCAGCGGCCTGCCCAGGCTGCCCTGCCCGCCTCGGGCCTGGGGGTCCCTCTGCCCTCTCCACCCTGCTTCCCCTGCTCTGCCCTCTCCTCCTCCCCGGGGGGCACACGCAGCCTATACATAGGCCACGCCCTCTTCATTCATGCTCCGCCCCCAGACCGCCCCCTGTCCAATCCCAATAAGCAGCTCAGCATGCGGGGCTCGACGCTCCACCCCCTCCAGCGGCACGCCCCGCCCCTTTCGGCGGCACGCTCCGTGGGCGGTGGCGTCAGCCCCTTGAGGCCACGCCCCCTCCAGCGGGCCACGCCCCCTCTGGTTATTACCTTAGCTCCAAGGGACCAGCAAAAGCCCGGAAGTGGAGCCGTGGTTCAAGTGGTAGAGCACCAGCCTTGACCAAAAGAGCTTACAATCCCTGAGTTCAAACCCTGTTCCCCACCCCGGGCCCCACCAACGCCTCTGGCAAAGGAAAGTGCAATAAGTTCTTCACAAAACAGTCTGGGTTGATCAGAGCAGGTGTGTCTCAGTCACAAACTGCACACCTTCCCTGGAGAAAAGATCATTTCCCACCACTGCACACTGTCCCTTTCTCTTAGGCTCTAGAGGGGTTGGTGGAGAAAGGCCTAGAGACCTGGATAAGCTGCGCCTTTTGTTTTGCAAATGAAAGACAGAACTCCTGGGTGGAGGTCTCTAGAAGCAGTTAAACCCTGACCAGTCTTTTACTATTGGGGTTGGAGGACAGTAAGTGGAGAGAGCTGATTTAATGATATAATTCATGATGGAGTGCTTGACTCAGTCTCCAACACCACTCTTATTAGAAGAAAATAAATGAATCATTAAAAACAAAGCAGGGCTCTGTGGCTCCCGCCTGTCATCCCAGCTACTCAGTGTAAGGTCCGCTGGGACCTTATGCTCAGGGACAGTGCCCAGGCCCAGAGTTCAAGTCCCCTGCTGAACAAAACATAAAAAGTTACACGAACTTGTGTGCCAGCGGATCCTCAGATCTCAGCCTCCTGAGTAGTTAGGATGACGGCTGTGAGCCACTGATGCCTGGCACCAAAACTCTTAATTAATAGCATCCAATTAGCAACGATAACCTGGCTTTCATTGGTTCTCTTACCTCCCAAGTCAACTACATTAGGATACTCCAGCCTTTTCTGCTTCTGCTGGGCTGAAGGAGTCTCTTAAGAGCTCAGACACCCACTGGACATGCCTTTCTCAGTCCTTCTAGGTACCTACGTGGATTTAAGATGCAAGAAAACCAGCAGGAAGTGAAGCAATAAGGTTGATCGTGTTGATCTGGGAACCCCCAACGCTAAAGGGTCTGCTAGCAGATTAATAAAACAGCTTTTTTTTTCTCTTTTGGGCCAGTCCTGGGTCTTGAACTCAGGGCCTGGGCGCTGTCCCTGAGCTCTTTCACTCAAGGCTGGCGCTCTACCACTTGAGCCACAGCGCCACTTCTGGTTTTCTGGTGGTTCATAAAAGATCAGAGTCTCACGGACTTTCCTGCCCAGGCTGGCTTTGAACCTTGATCCTCTAGATCTCAGCCTCCTGAGTCGGCTAGGATCACAGGTAGGAATCCGCTCTTGATGTAGCTACTCAGAGCCGAAAGGTGACACAGATGTGCTCCCAGGGCTAGTTTGGTGAAGATTCCAGTCACAGCCGCCCCAGGCTGCATTTATGACTTGTCAAGTGACTGATGACTAAGTGTTTCTTCCCATTCTTCCTCCCTGCTTTGGCAGACTTGTCCAGACTTGAGCCCCGGTGACTCAGCCAGGTGAAGGTTGAGCTGAGATTCTTGCTGTACCACAAAGCAAGCACGTTTCTAAAAATGCACCCAGACTGCCAGCCGGGTTACAATTGGCACCCTTGCTTTAGTCCCTGTGTCTTGAACTAAAAAAGGCACTGGCATAGTGAACCTCATTCTCCAAGTGATTTAAGATTGAAACAAACATGCAAAGAAAGAACACTTTGCCAGGTGCCCGTGGCTCCCGCCTGTCATCCCAGCTACTCAGGAGGCTGAGATCTGAGGATCACGGTTCAAGGCCAGTCTGGGCAGGAAAGTCTGGGAGACTTTTATCTCTGATTAACTAACAAAAAGCCAGAAGTGGAGCTGTGGCTCGAGTGGTAGAGCACCAACCTTGAGCACAAAAGCTCAGGGACAGGGCCCAGGTTCTGAGTTCAAATCCTAGGGTTGCTAGCTGCACCCAAAAGTATTCTGTCAGTGGTGGTCCTGGGGCTTGCACTCAGGGCCTGGGCACTGTCCCTGAACCTCTTTGTGCCCAAGGCTGGTGCTCTACCACTTGAGCCACAGCGCCACTTCTGGTTTTCTGGTGGTTCATTGGAGATAAAAGTCTCATAAACTTTCCTTCCCAGGCTGGCCTTGAACTGTGATCCTCAGATCTCAGCCTCCCGAGTAGCTGGGATGACAGGCGTGAGCCCCACTTCGACTTTTTGCTGGTTAGTTGAGATTTCTCTTTCATTGGTCGCCCAGGGTTGGCTTCCAACAGAGATTGGCTTTCTGAGTAGCTGGGGTTAAGGTGTAGAGCACTGGATCTGGGCCTGGCTCTAGAGTCTGAGATGAATGGGAGGATGGATCAGGTCCCACAGAGTGACAAGGTTTAGGGGTGTCACTCCCTCATCCAGAGCCTGAGTCCCGGGCCACAGCTCCGCCAGGTCTGGCTCAGGGAGAGCAATGGAATTTGTTTTCCCAGGGTTAGTTAACCCCAGGGTGGGGACAGGTAGAGGTGGAAACTTCTGCCCGGGGCTGAGAAGTGGAGTTTAAGTAACAAAGTTTCTCCCAAACAAACTCTTCCTTTTAGCATTTGTAAAGCTAGCCGCCTCGCAGCCTTGTTTATTTACTTGGTCATTTGCCTTTATCTGCCCTTCATTAGCATATCTTTGACCAAGCCTCTTAGCACCTGAATCCGTACACGCTAGGGTACTCAAAGGTAGAGACCTAGACTCTTTCCCAGTCCCCTTACTCAAAGGTAGAGACCTGGATTCTTTCCCCAGTCTTCTTCAGAAAATGGTCTTTTTATTTACTTTAGAAATAAACAGTCTGAGCCAGGCCCTGATGGATCCCGCCTGTCATCCGGGCTACTCATGGAGGCTGAGATCTGAGGATCGAGGTTCAAAGCCAGCCTGGAAAAGAAAGTCTGTGAGACTCTGATCTCCAACAAATCACCAGAAAATCAGAGAAAGACGCTCAAGACAGGACCCAGATCCTGAGTTCAAGCCCCATGACTGATCAAAAAAAGAACCTCCTGGACTTTCCTGCCTGGGCTGGCTTTGAACCAAGATCCTCAGATCTCAGCCTCCTGAGTAGCTGGGATGACAGGCGGGAGCCTGCAGGTATTGGAGCTTGAACTCAGAACTTGGATGCTGTCTCAGCTTTATTATTATCATTTTTCCACACTCTTTTGAGTTGTCTTGTTTTGTTATCGCTGGTACACTGTGGTAGGCCAGAGTCTCTTGGATTTGTCTGCCAGGGCTGGGTTTGAACCATCGTCCTCAGATCTTCAGCCCTCTGAGTGGTTCGCATCATAAGCTCCAGGACAGCCCACAGCTGGCTTCTTCATGATGATTATTTTCACTTTGGTCAAGTTCATCAGCACGTAATAAAAAAGAGCTGCCATAGACCGGACCAAGGTGCATAAATGAAGTCCATCTGAATACTCTCATCTCCAAATGTGCTTTTCATCCTGGGCCTGTGGGATTGTGGGAAGTGAAGAGGTTGGGGGGCAGGGGGAGGGGAGGGGGGAGGAGGAGGGGAGGGGGGAGGGCTGGCTTTACTCCTCCAGGCTGGTGAACTTGGCAACCTCTGTGGGAAATGAACCCCAGCCCTCCCAACACCCCCCCCCCCCGCCGCCCCCCAGCCCACCCCCAGCCCCACCGCGGAACAAACCCATTCAAAACGATTTCATACTTTTCCTTCCTCAGCCTTGGGAATGTGGAAGCCATTTTCCAGGAAGCTAAATCACAGATTTCCACAGTTAACCCTTGTAGAGAAACAAGCTCCTTTCTCTCTTTCCAAGGGTAAGGAGGATAATGCAGTGTGTGTGTGTGTGTGTGTGTGTGTGTGTGTGTGTGTGTGCACTAACCCTTAGCTTTTTAATTTTATTTATTTAGCCAGTCCTGCGGCTTGAACTCACGGCCTGAGCACTAACCCTGAGCTTCTTCTACTTGAGCCACAGCGCCACTTCTGGCTTTTTCTGTGTATGAGGTACTGAGGAATCGAACCCAAGGCCTCATGCATGCTAGGCAAGCGCTCTACCACTGAGCCACCTGCCCAGCCCTGTCCGTCAGCTTTAGTGCACAAGTCTAGTGTTGTGCCATTTGAGTCACAGTTCCACTTCTGGTTTGTTGGTTCATTGGAGATCGGAGTCTCAGGGACTTTCCTGTCCCTGGCTGGTTTTGAACCTTGATCCTCTGATCTCAAGCCTCTGGGCATAGCTGGGATTCCAGGCATGAGCCGCAGTGCGTACACTTTGCTTTTGAGATGGGGTTCAGGTTCTCATTACGACTGATGATGAAATAGGTCCAGGCGGCTCACGCCTGTCATCCTAAGTACTCAGGAGGCTGAGATCTAGAGGATCAAGGTTCAAAGCCAGCCCTGTGCAGGAAAGTCCTTGAGACTCTGATCTCCCATGAACCACCAGAAAACTGGAAGTGGCGCTGTGGCTCAAGTGGTAGAGCACCAGCCTGGAGTGAAAGAGCTCAGGGACGGCGCCCAGGCCCCGAGTTCAAGTCCCATGACTGACCAAAAGAAAAAAAAAAGTTGTACAGGGTCCTAGCTCTGAGTTCAAGCCCAAGAAGCAGTATCACCCCCCGAAAGACAATTATTTGCTTGTGAGTCATTTGTAAACAAAAACAACAAAAAACTGGCAGGATACTTACTGTTTGCTGATGTGTAATATGAACTCAGCCCTATGTGTACAACGCATGCAGACTTACTTGTCATTTGAAAGATTCCTTTTATTTATTTACTTAGGTGCCAATCTTGGGGCTTGAACTCAGGGCCTGGCCTGTGTCCCTAAACATTTTTTTTTTCTGCTCAAGGCACCACTTCCAGCCTTTTTAGTCATTAACTGGGACATGAGAATTTCAGAGCTCTGTCTCCTGATCAGGTGGCTGGGATTACAGGCGGGAGCCACCTGCTTGGTCTAGCTGCCCACATGGATATTTGGAGGCAGGAAGGGCCTGGAGTTGAGCTCAACTCTCTCCCCATTCTTGATCTTTCTCTTCGGTTGGGAGCAGGTACGTTTGCATCTGGGTGTTCTTTTGGGGGGAAGGGGGTGGGTGGAATTCTTACACATCTGTGCGCAGCAACTGGCTAAATCCTCTTTGGCAGGCATCCCGTGTGTGTGTGTGTGTGTGTGTGTGTGTGTGTGTGTGTGTGTGTGTGTGTGTGTGTGTGTGTGTGCAGGAATCTGCTACTGAAGTGTGTGGGTTGGGGGCTAGGCAGGCGACCCGAATCGCAAATCAATCGTGGGGCCTACTGATCAACACTGGGAAGCTGGGGGGGGGGGGGGGAGGAGACAGACCACGATTTTATGGTGTTCCTCATTCTCTTGTTGAGTGTAATAGGATTAGGGCCAGCAGTTCTGGGAAAGGCGCTCAGCCAGTCACAGGGCCAGGCTGACAGACACCTCCTTTATGAACGTCTCTAAGACCCTCAAAGTCTATTCTTTTCTCTGATTTTTTTTTCCTTTCTTATTTTTATTGGTGCTGGGAGAGGGAACCCCAGGCCTCCTGCAGGGAGACCCTTCTCACTCACTCATTCATTCATTCATTCATTCGTTGGCTGTGGGGCTTGAACTTGGGGCTTGCACCCCGTGTCTGAGTCTCTTTGCACTCCAGGCTGGCACTCTACCACTTGAGCCACAGCGCCACTTTCTGGTTCTGAGTGGCTCATTGGAGCTCAAAGTCTCATGGGGATTTTTCTGCCCTGGGCTGGCTTTGAACCCCAATCCTCAGATCTCAAACTCCCGAGAAGCTGGGATGACAGGTGTGAGCCACTGGCCCCCGGCTATTTATTTTGGTGCCAATTGTGGGTCCTTGAACTCAGGGCCTGGGCGCTGTCCCTGAGCTTCTTTTGCTCATGACGCTCTACCACTTGAGCCACACTCCCAGTCCCAATTTTCCATTTTCCAGCCCCAATTTTCCACTTTCTGTGGCTAAGAACCCAACAAGCAGCCAAGGAAACTGCCGACCTGGCGCGCCACTTAAGAACATCAACATTTATTTAACATGATAAAAAAGGAATGCGATATGAACATTGGCGTGGAAGGATCTTTCTGGAAGCGGCCTTTTGCACAGGGCAGGCGCTCGCTGTATGTACACGATGAAGATAATTACATTTGTACACAGACTAAGTACAGGACTGGAGGGATTTCTGGCTTATTGCTGTCCAAGTCTGTCGGCCCCGGGGGGGTGGGGGGTCCTGCGGGGGGATCGAACTTGGGAGTTTCTCCGAGGGGACGGGGAAGAAGTTAGGGGCCTGAGCACTCATGGCGGAGGAGGGGGGGGGGTGGCGTGGAGGGAGGAGGGAGGGCGGGTGGGGGGGGGGGTGGCGGTGATGGTGGGAAATGGGGGCACACCTCACGGGCATGAATGAGGTGGCATTGCGGAGGGACCAGTCCACGGCTGTTACAAATCAAGTGGGAGCCAAAGCAGTCCTGAAGAGATGGGGGGACGGGGGGGACCCAGGTCCTTGGAAATAATAACTAACGCTATGTAAGGAGAAGCCAAAGGGCTGAGCGGTAGAGACCCCAGGATGGAGGGGGCGGGGCTTGGCAGGTGGGGTGCAAGCTGGGGGGGGGCTACAGAGGGACCGGTGGGTGCTTAAAGCTGTTTGGAGACGGTTTTTTCCCCAGGAATGATCGGGTGTCGCTCGGTGAGTTTCAGAGAGTGAAGGCGTTCTGTACACGTCTTGTCATGGCGGTCGGGGTGGGGTGGCTGAAAAACAATGGGGGGGGGGGGTGTCCTGACCTCCCGCCCAGTCTCCAGTCCTGCTAGAGATCCAACAGATAACGGGGTGCGGGGGGGGGGGGGGGCGTGGATCAACATGCAGTTTTCACAAACTGCTTTTTTTTTTTGGTCAATTGTGGGACTTGAACTCAGGGCCTGGGCGCTGTCCCTGAGCTCTTTCGCTCAAGGCTGGTGCTCAACCCCTTGAGCCACAGCGCCAGTGCTGGTTTTCTGGTGGTTCACTGGAGATGAGTCTCATGGACTTCCCTGCCCGGGCTGGCCTCGAACCGTGATCCTCAGATCTCAGCCTCCTGAGTAGCTGGGATGACAGGCGGGAGCCAGAGGCGCGAGGCGAGCCCAGCTGCACTGTCCTGGGCGGATGGGATGGATCTAAGGTAGCCGCCGTGCTATCCCTGCTTCAGACACCTGCCCTCCCTGCCCCCCTGCCCCCCTCCTCCCGCTGCTCTCCTCCTGTAGCGCCAACAATGAGTCCCGGCAGGCCTTACCTGGGGTCTACACGCACATGAAGTGTGACCCTTCGGGGAGCTCTGTCTGCAGGGGTGGCTCTGGTGACGAGGGCTCGGGAGATGGGGTCAGACTTGGCACTGGAACACAGAACACACGGTGGGGTGGGGCGTGAGGATGAACAGGAAGAGGCGGGGCGGGCGGCGGGCGGCGGAGGCCACTGCAAACCGTAAAGGAAACCACGGCCAAAGGGCCGGCGAGGGCCGGGCCGCAGCTTGGTGGCAAAGCACTTGCCTAGCAAGTGTGAGGTCCTGGGTTCGATTCCCGGTCCCGAAACAGAAAAGACCAAGAAGAATGATGACGCTGATGATGGTAACAATGGTAAGCTGGGCAGGTGGCTCAGTGGTAGAGCGCTTGCCTGGCGTGCATGAGGCTCTGAGTTCGATTCCTCAGCACCACATAAACCACAACCAAATTACATTAATGAGGTTTTTTTTTTTAAAAGATAGTAAATAAGCTGTGAAGAGGCAAAAATCATGGGGAAAGGGGGGTGGGCACAGAGATTGGAGGAGAGGAGGGAATGGGAGGGGGAGAGGGGGAGAGGGAGAGAGAGAGGAGGGGAGAAGGGGAGATAGAACAGCACGGAACACCTTCTGCTTATTTTTTTGTCAGTCCTGGGGCTTGAACTCGGGGCCTGGGCGCTGTCCCTGAGCTCTTTCACTCCAGGCTGGTGCTCTACCACTTGAGCCACAGCGCCACTTCTGGTTTTCTGGTGATTCATGGGAGATCAGTCTCACAGACTTTCCTGCCCTGGGCTGGCCTTGAACCGTGATCCTCAGATCTCAGCCTCCTGAGTCGCTGGGATGACAGGCGGGAGCCACTGGCACCTGGCTCTGCTGCTGCTTTTTTGTTTTCTTGTGCCAGTACCAAGATTTGAACCTCCACTCTTGCCAGAGGGAGGAGCTCTGGCACCCAAGACCTACCGGCGGGCGTCTGACTCTCTCTCGAGGCCTCGGGAGTGGGCTCACGGGAAGCCGCAGGCTCTTCCTGGTCAGGAGCACTGCTTTTGGAGTCTTCTTCAGGGCTGTCTAGTGCTTCGTGGTTCGTGATCCGCCCGTCGTCTCCGGGGCTGTGGGAAACGGTGCGCTGTTTACGCATGCTGGACAAGGGCCTCCACTTTTCTTGAGATGGGATCATCCAGTGCGGGCCTCCCTAGTCCCCTCCTCCCCGCTCAGCCTCCCCCGTGCTAGGGTTATTGGTGTCAAACCCACTGTATTCGGGGTAGTGGTGGCGGTGGTGGGGCTTGAACTCAGGGCCTGGGCGCCGAGTTCTTATTATAAAGGGGATGTACAGAGGGGCCGGTTACACAGCTCCTCCTGCTCTGAGTTACCTGCATGTCACTCCAACAGGGTCGGATTCCTCGCTCCTTTCCTTGTCCCCCGATTCCTCAGAGTTTAACCCTTTCGGCTCAGGGGCGAAAAGCACACCATACAGAACATTCTCCGTTCTCTTCAACTACGAAGGAAGAGACACATGGTTTCTAGTGTGTTCTTACCACCTGAATACCAGGCAATCTAAATGTTTCAAATAGCCAGGTACTGATAGCTCCCGCCTGTCATCCCAGCTGCTCGGGAGGCTGAGATCTGAGGATCGAGGTTCAAAGCCAGCCCGGGCGGGAAAGTCTGTGAGACTCTGATTGCCAATGAACCACCAGAAAACTGCAAGTGGAGCTGGGGCTCAAAATGGTCGACAAAAACCAAACACCCCCAAAATAAAGACACAACAAAAACATCCGTACCAAGTGACTTCAAATCATGCACCAAATATTTAGTGGCTAAAAAAATTCTAGATTGGAGTATATTGAAATCATTATTAACATTTCCTATCAGCTCATCCTAGAATTCTAGTAGCAATCCTGTCATTGAATTGGCAATGCTTTATTCTAACTTTGATTATACTCTGCATTTTCTTCTTGTTTTGCTGGTCCTGGGTTTGAACTCAGGGCCTAGGTGCTGATCCTAAGCTTCTTTTGCTCAAGGCGAGCACTGTACCACTTGAGCCATAGCACCACTTCTGGCTTTTTCGGTGTGTGTGGTACTGAGGAATCGAACCCAGGGCTTCATGCATGCTAGGCGAGCACTCTACCACTGAGCCACACAGCCAGTGCCGTGTGTGTGAGCACAGATCCTGGGGTTTGAACTCAGTGTCTGGGCGCTGTCTCTTGGCTTTTTTTGCTCAAGGCTGGTGCTCTTCCACTCTGAGCCACATAGCACTTCTGGTTTTCTGGTGGTTCATTGGAGATCAGAGTCTCATGGACTTTCCTGCCCGGGCTGGCTTTGAACTGCGATCGTCAGCTCTCAGCCTCCCGAGCAGCTGGGATGACGGGTGGGAGCCGTGCACCCGGCTCACTGTGTTTTTCTGTGGTGGAGGCCCCGGCCTCTGACTGAAGCCACGCTCTGCGGCGTTTCTCTGGTGGGATCTCACGCTACCTCCTTGCCGGAGTCTGGACTTTGGGGCTCAGTGGTGATGACGGGAAGAGCGTCTTCCGTGGGGGATTCACGGGGTGGCTTCCCGTCGCTTTCCGTACTGACGGCGTCCGGCTCCTTCACGCCGTCGTCCCTCCTCCGAGGCTGCGGGGACACAGAGCATTCCCCCCGTGACTCCTCTGGGTGCTGGGAGTGCTGGATTACAGGAGTGCACTACAGCGCCCGGCCAAGTAGCTGGGCAGGGAAGGATGGGGCGCTGATGTGTGCGTGTGGCTCATGCCATTACAGATGGGATCCACCCAGGGCGGACCGCTGCGTGCTAAAAGACGGCCCGGAGGACACGACGGACAAACAAGGGCCATTTCTGTTCCTGTCTAGAAGGGACCGAGAACAAACCGGAAGTCACGGCACTGAGACTCTTGTGAGGCGAAGCGGAGCGCCACAGACGGCGGGCCTCGGCCTTCATTCTGATCTCTGCCATTCGGGTCACACTGAGTCAGGACACACGCACATTTCATTGGGAGGGAACTGTAGGCTATCTTGGTACTTTGCTTAATGGTGCCAGTCCTGGGCCTTGAACTCAGGGCCTGGGCGCTGTCCCTGAGCTGCTTTTGCTCAAAGCCGGCGCTCTACCACGTGAGCCACAGCACCACTTCCGGCTTTTTCTGCTTATGTGGTGCTGAGGAATCCAACCCAGGGCCTCAGGCATGCAAGGCAAGAGCTCTACCACTGAGCCACCTGCCCAGCCCAGCATTGTTTTTTTGGTAGTTCTTTGGAAATAAGAATCTCACAGACTCTCTGCCCAGGCTGGCTTTGAACTGTCATCCTTGATCTCAGACTCCTGAGTAGCTGGGATGACAGGAGTGCGCCTGGCATCTCGTTTTTTCTTGGTGTTTGTGCAGCAGGAAGATCAGGCCCGGTGCAGGCATCTCCACCGAGAACTCTGCCTCTCTGCTTCTCAAGGCCATGGAAGTTTAGTGAGCTGTCTTAAAAATACAAAGCAAAGCCGGGCGCCAGTGGCTCACGCCTGTCATCCCAGCTACTCAGGAAGCTGAGATCCAGAGGATCGTGGTTCAAAGCCAGCCTGGGCAGGAAAGTCTGTGAGACCATCTCGTCCCCAGTGTAGCCCTTTTCAAAGGACCAAAGCGCTGCTCTGCGATTGTAAAATCCAAGTCACGTGAGCCTTCAGACAGAAAATTCCAGGCCACTAACGTACCTGCACCATCCTGAAGGGGTTTTCCCTCAAGCTGGAGGGGCTGTGTAAGGGGGACGGGTCGGAAGCGCCCAGAACATTCCACCCTTTCTTCCTCTCCCGCAGGCAGGCCTGCTGATGCCGGCGGATCCGCTCCATCTGCTCCTCCACCGTCATCCGGGGCCGAGAACTTTCTGCCAGGCAGAGCTGCTCCACGGCGCTTCGCGGTCGCTCCTTGAAAACGACAAGGAGAGGTGTGAAGCCGGGTGAGCACTCAACACGGAGTCGCTTGGGGGGACGCAGCGTTGGAGAAACGCGGCAAGGTGAGCTCCTATGCTTCGCTTTCAAAACTCAGGAGGAGGCTGAGCTCTGAGGATCGGGGTTGGAGGCCAGCCTGGGCAGGAAAGTCAGTGAGACTCTCATCTCCAGTGAACCACCAGAAAACTGTAGATGGAGCTGTGGCTCACGCGGGAGAGCGCCAGCCTGGAGTGGAAGAGCTGAGGGACGGCGCCCAGGCCGTGAGTTCAAGCCCCAGGATGGCTGGGCAGAGCAGCAGCAGGGCAGAGGAGCTGGGGAGGGCGGGCAGCGGGGCTGCGCAGCTGGCGGAAGCTCTCTGGGGCTTCACGGAGATGGTGGGAAGGAGCCATGACTCACAGTGCAGGAATGAGTCACGGGCAGAGCCGCCCGCAGCACCCCCTGCCCTGCTTCCTGTGACCCACGCCGGCCTGGCCTTCCTGCTCCGGCTGGCACACGGCCACTCGGGCCCCGCCCCCGCTGGCCAATCCTCCGTGGCTTCCGGTTCTGGCCCTCCCTCCTCCAGGGGCGCCACGCCTGCCCTTCCCTGTTCGCCTTGTGACAAGGCCTGTGCCCAGTGGCTGCGACTTCCATCGGGGACCCGCATGTCTTCCAAGGCCGGCGCTCTACCACCTACTCTGCACCTTCAACCCTGGCTTTTTGCTGCTTCACTGGAGAGATAAAGAGTCTCTCAGACTCTCCTGTCCCCAGCTGGCTTCAAATCGTGATCCTCAGAGTTCAGCCTCCCGAATGACTGGGGTTACAGGCGTGAGCGCCCGGCCCTGGCACAGTGTACTTGAACTGACGGCCTCACACTCTGGAGGGGCTTTTATCATTTTAATTTTTGCCAGTCCTGGGGCTTGAACTCAGGGCCGGGGCGCTGTCCCTGAGCCTCTTTGTGCTCAAGGTTAGTGCTTGGGCCTCAGCAGCACTCCTGGTCTTTTGACTAGTCAATTGGAGGTACAGTCTCACGGACCTTCCTGCCTTGGCTGGCTTTGAACTGTGATCCTCAGATCTCAGCCTCCTGAGTCGCTGGGATACAGGCGGGAGCCACAGGTGCCTGACTCTTCAAGGGATTTCTCTCAGCCTCCAGGGCAGCCATCCAAGGAAAGACCCCACACGGGTCCACAGACGTGGCCCACAGACGGATGCCTCGATTATAGAACCTTTAGGAGTGGTCCTAAGGTGTTCACTGTCTAAACGTAATTGGAAGATGACCGCATCTTTCTTAGAAGAAAGAAAGAACTGGGTGAGTCACTAGAGGCGGTGGAGGGAGATAGGGAAGCCAGCAGGCTGGCCTGGGGAACTTCGAGAACGCTCATTTCTAGTCCAGTACCGTGCTGAGGTCCAGCACCTTCTTGGTTTTCCTCAAGGTCACGTACGAAGCAATTGTGGAAGACTCGGGTGTCGGGGACTTGGTTCTGGGGGGGACGATCCCCACAGGAAAGTGCGGCCCTGGAAGGAAAGCAGACTTCCATGAAGCCCTGTTATCAAGGACAAAGCTGTGTGTGTGTGTGTGTGTGTGTGTGTGTGAGCGCACGCGCACGTGCCCGGCAGTCCTGGGGCTTGAACTCAGGGCCTGGTACTCTTCCCTCGGCTGTGTTGCTTAAGGCTGGTGCTCTACCACCTGAGCCACAGCTCCACTTCTGCTTTTTGCTGGTTCATTGGAGAGTCTCATGGCTGGCTTTTACCTGTGATCCTCAGATCTCAGCTTTCTGAGTAGCTGGGATTACAGGCGTGAGCCACCAGGGCCTGTTAAAAAATTAAGTTGCAGATTTTCCTCATATTCTTGTTTCCAGAGTTCACATATGTGGGGCTGGGCAGGTGGCTCAGTGGTGGAGCACTCGCCTAGCATGCATGAAGCCCTGGGTTCGATTCCTCAGTACCACAGACACAGAAAAAGCCAGAAGTGCAGCTGTGGCTCAAGTGGTAGAGGGCTAGCCTTGATCAAAAGAAGCTCAGGGACAGTGCCCAGAGTTCAAATTCCCCTATTCCCTGCACGGTGGTGCATGCCTGTAATTCCAGCACTCAGGAGCTGTCAGCTGTACCCAGCTCAGGCTACATGGTAGAATTCTAACTCAAAACAGGCAAAACCCACTGACTATTATCCTAGCTACGCAGGAGGCTGAGATCTGAGGATCACGGTTCAAAGTCAGGCAGGGCAGAAAAGATCGTGAGACTCTTTATCTCCAATGAACCACTAGGTGGCGCTGTGGCTCAAGTGGTAGAGGGCCCCACAACTGACCAACAATCACACACACACACACACACACACACACACACACACACACACACACACACACACACACACACACACACACACACACACTATAAAAAACACAAAACAGGAAAAGGGATGATGGGGTCTTGGGGGGGCTGACCTTTGATGGCTGCGGTTTCGGCCTCTGACACAGGCTCAGATTTTTCTTCGCCATTAGACTCATCAACCTCTGCCACTGTGGTTAACTCAGGCTCACTCTTGTATAGCCTATAATCGGGACCCTGGGAAGGAAAGAGCAGCCATGATCAAACCCCACAAGGCTCGGGCTGCGTGGCAAACTCGCTGGTGAAACCCTGGCTAGCTTCTACCAGGTCTTGGTGTCTAATCGGCAACATTTACATGAAATTCCCGGGAAACACTGCAGCACTGGAAACCACACAATGGATATGCGCATGATGAATAAGCAGAAAGAAACAAAACAAAACCTTAACTCGTTTTAACCTGTTTTGCTGGGCATCAGTGGCTCCCGCCTGTCATCCCAGCTACCCAGGGGGCTGAGATCTGAGGATCACGGTTCAAAGCCAGCCTGGGGCAGAAAAGATCGTGAGACTCTTATCTACCATGAACCACCAGAAAACCGGAACTGGAGCTGGGGCTCAAGCGGTAGAGCGCCAGCCTTGAGTGAGAGAGCTCAGGGATAGCGCCCAGGCCCTGAGTTCAAGACCCAGGGCCGACAAAACAAACAAAAAAATCCACACACTGACGTGCACCTCCCCACACCCAAAACTTCCAAGACTCTCGCCTCAGCCTTCCTAGTGCTGGGATTACAGGCGTGTGCCAATATGCTTGGCTGCAAAAATGTTTAAGTGGTGAAACTTTTTGTTTTACAATTAAGAATACTCCTGTGTTCTGTTGTTCTTTTGTGCTGGGATTTGGGCCTCTGGTAGCTACCTCTGAAGTCTTCAAGGTTACCGTAAATGAATTTTGGGGGGCAGTACTGAGGTTTGAACTCATGGCCTTGTTCATGGCGGGTGCTCTACCCCCCAGAGCCATGCCTCCAGTCTGGCTTTATTTTTTTGCCTAGCTCAAAGGGGATGGATTCTCCGGGGTGGGCTTGAACCAACGGTGAGCCTCTGCCTGCGGGCAGGAATTACAGGCATGAGCCACAGATAGAGGTCACATTCTTCTCAGGATCACCAAGGCCTAAAAGTCATTTTGTAATCCAGTAAGTTTTCACTGTGAGACGGGGTGTGAAGGAAAGTCCCCCGAAGCGCTGAGTTCTTGTTAGTGAGCACCATTTCTTTTGGGGCGGGGTGGGGGTGGTCACCAGTACTGAGGCCTGAACTCTGGGCCTAGGCTCTACAAGCGCCACGTCCGGTTTTCTGGTGGTTCACTGGAGATCAGAGTCTCACCGACTTTCCTGCCTGGGCTGGCCTCCAACCACGATCCTCCAATCTCAGCCTCCTGAGCCAGCTGGGAGGACAGGCAGGAGCCACCAGCCTAGACCTGGCTACGATTTGAACTCTGGGTAAGAGAACTGGTTCTGGCGTTCTGGTTATTGACCTTTCTTAGTTCACCTCTATGCTTTTATATCCTAAACAGGGCCTTGACAACGGGGGCTCTATCAGTGTGTGCCCGGCCAGCATGTTCCAAAAGGAAAGACTCAAAGCAAGAACAAAAGCGCTACCACACAATCATTCCAGTGAGAAAAACCATGATAAATACGAGCAGGCTAAAACAGCAGACGGGAAAAACCAAACCAAAACCCAGCAACGAATGATGATGATCTTCTATGGAAATGACAGCGCTCCGGCTACAACAAGTAGGGTGACCAGAAAAAACACAATGGGGAGGAAAAAAAAAAAAAAAAAAAAAAGCAAGGAAAAAAAAAAAAAAAAAAAAGCTTGAGTATGCAAACGAAGGAACTTTCCAGAAAGGGCGAGGGGGCGGGACCCGGTGGCTGCTGGGGCCACTTACGCAGTGAGGTCCATTTCTTGGATGTCCTTGAGCTTGAGGCAGCCTCTTGTCCTCAGGCAGATGCGCTAGGTCCCTGCTATAACAGAGCAAGGAGCGGCTATCACTGCACAGAGGGGGGGGGATGGGAGGATGCTCGGTAAAGTCATAAGACCGAGGAAGTGGAGGCCGAGGGGGGGCGCTCTCCTCTTCCTAAGGATTGTAGAAGTCACCTTGTTTAGACAGGCACAGTGAAGTCAGCATCGCTAAAGTCTTTGCAACGGTACAGTAAATTCACATTCACACGTTGAAAGGGACACTGCCAAGCCAGAACTCGGGGTGGGGGGAAGAATAGGAACTTTGGCCCTCCCACCCCACACCCTTAAAAAAAAAAAAAAGAAGAAGAAGAAAAGGTCAGAAGAGCCAGCTATTGGGTTTCCCCGCACGGCCACTTCTGGGTTGAGCTTGCCGCGGTAGTAAGTTAGCTTTAGTCAGTTAGCGATAGTAAGTTAGCTTTAGTAAGTCAGCGGTAGTACGTTAGCTTTCCCACTGCAGCTCCACTGTGTGAAATGACCAAGTTTCACCTTAAAAGAAGAAGAAAAAAAAAAGAATCTTGCCCCATGCTGGTGGCTCATGATCGTGGTTCAAAGCCAGCCTGGGCAGGAAAGTCCATGAGACTCTGATCTCCAATAAACCACCAGAAAACTGAAAGTGGCGCTGTGGCTCAATGGTAGAGCACCAGCCTGGAGCTGAGGGGCAGCACCCAGGCACGGAGTTCAAGCCTCCCCCTTTATTAAAAAACCCCTTTCTCTTAGGTTTCTGCATCAGTCGAGCGTAAGGACCTCGTGTTTGGGTTGACAGTATCTCTTTACAGCGATCATTTCTCTACATCACCCGTAACAGAGAAGCAACACATCTATCAAGCATCCTACAAACTTTACCGATGAAAAGTATGCATTCTAAGTATGCAGAGCACTCAGAAAAAGCATGACAGAGTTAATTTCAATACACACAAAAAGCAGTGATTTTTTTTCTTTTCTTTTGAAGAAAGACTCATGTTAGACACACCCAATTCCTGAACCAATAAAATCCCAACACCAAAACGATTTCACTATATTAAAAAGAAATTGTGTTACGTAAACAGACTTAAATCCCTTCTCATTTCACAGGTGAAATGCTTTAGGCGACCGCTCCAGTTATACAACAGACTTAAATTCCTTCTCATTTCACAGGTTAAACACTTTAGGCGACCGTTCCAGTTATGAAACCAATGAGACTCACCTCACTCCTGTACTTAACTGTGGAGAAGGGCTTTGACCCTGTCACACCTATGAGAAAAAAATTAAGACCCTGTAACTACTCACAGTAAACACAGTTTTCCCCCATGAATGGAGCTTGAACTCAGAGCCTGTGCCCTGTTCTTCTGCTCAAGGCTTAGCACTCTACCACTTCAGCCACAGCGCCACTTCTGGCTTTTTGGTGGTTAGCTGGAAATAAGAGTCTCACAGACTTTCCTGCCCAGCCTGGCTTTGAACCACGGATCCTCAGATCTCAGCTTCCAACGCTCAGCTAAACACATCTCTCTCTACCTACAGAAAGAATCATTTCTTTTTTTTTCATGGTACTGGGATGTGAGCTGTAGGAAATAATGATTGGTAGTCCATTCTTTCCTTTTTTTCCTTTGCCACATGCCCAGACCCTTTTTTTTGTTTGTTTTTTTTGTAGTCTACCACTTTCTTCTGCTAGTAGTAGGCCTCCTCCTCCTAAGCAACATCATGTTGTTTAGGTTGTATACCTAGCTTTGAAAATGGACCAGGGTCTGGCAAGGTGGCGCAGTGGTAGAGTACTCGCCTAGCATGCATGAAGCCCTGGGCTGATTCCACAGTACCATATACACAGAAAAAGCCAGAAGTGGTGCTGTGGCTCAAATGGTACAGTGCTAGCCTTGAGCAAAAGAAGTTCTCGGACAGTGTCCTGTGCCAGAGTTCAAGCCCCAGGACTAGCAAATGCAAACACACACACACACACACACACACACACACGACCTGAAGGGACAAAGCCTACTTCTAAAATTCAACCAGTCTGAAAAGGGAGTTCAAATTACTCAATAGAAAATAAAAAGCTGGGCGCTGGTGGCTCATGCCTGTAATCCCAGCTACAGGAGGCTGAGATCTGAATACTGTGGTTCAAAGCCGGTCTAGGCATCAAAGTCCATGACAGGTTCTTTTTGTTTTGTTTTTGGCTGGTCCTGGGGCACTGTCCCTGAGCTTCTTTGCTCAAGGCTGGTGCTCTTCCACTTGAGCCACAGCGTCACTCCCAGCTTTTTTCTGAGTAGTAGGAGTCAAGAGTCTCATGAACTTTCCTAGCCTCCAGTATCTAGGATTATAGGCGTGAGCCACTAGCGCCCAACTTTCTAGGAGACTTATCTCCAATGAACCACCAGAAAACCGGAAGTGGAGCTGTGGCTCAACGTGGTAGAACGCTAGCCTTGAGTAGAGAGAAGTTCAGGGACAGTGCCCAGGCCCTGGGTTCAAGGCTCACCACTGACCAAAAAAAGAAGAGAATTAGACTGCCATACTTCATACACTCCACACCAAGGCAGAAGGAAGTAGGTGGAAGACAAAAGCCCTCCCTGGTCCATACCCAGGTATGGCTGCTGACCAGAAGTCTCTTCATTACTTCCTGTCTATTACTTCCTTTCTGCATCTAGCCAACATGCTTCTCCTAGGTTTGCCTGAAGCAGGGTCTGGATGTGTAGGCTGGGATGGCCTTGAACTTGTGGATCCTCCTACCTCCGCCGCCGGGATTACAGGTGTGCACTAACCTCCTCAGCTCACTTACATGACATGAACGTCAATGAGCAGAGTCCTTCCGGCTAGAGGGAGCCGGCTCGGCCCCCCTTACGCACCCGGTTCCCAGGAGCCTCTCTGCTGCTTGTGTTTGCTGAGGCCTTCCATTACGTCTTGGATCCTCCACATTTCCTTCTGGACCTGTGCGCGCTGAATTCCGGCCGACTCCGTCTGCTGGAGGAAATGGACAGACCACGGGGGGGGGGGGGGGGGTCCGCGTGAGAAATTCTGCTAGGCAGATGTTGGAACATAAGAACAGCAGTGCAGAGAGCTTGTGTCCTATTTAGCATGATCCTACGGGATTCTGTAGGGTGACATTTTCAGTGGCAAAGAGAGAAAAAGATGGAACTTTTCAGACTCAAATAGACCAGTCTTCATTTTTTTTTTTCTTTCTTTTGTCAGGTTTGAACTCAGGGCCTGGGCGCTGTCCCTAAGCTTTGATTCAAGGCCAGTGCCCTACCACTTTGAGCCACAGCGCCATTTCTGCTTTTCTGGTGGTTCACTGGGGAGAAGTCTCAGGGACTTTCCTGCCTGGGCTTTGAACTGCGATCCTCAGATCTCAGCCTCCTTAGCTGCTAGGAATGATAGGCATGAGCCACCAGCGCCTGGCCTGTTTTCCATTTTTGCAGAGTTTTACCTAGTGTTCTTCACGAGCTTAAGAAATTGAGACTAATTTGAAGGGACTAAATATGAAGCTGTGTACTGACGGAGCACACTTGTTACCCAGCTATTAAGAGCACCCTGATTCCAGGCCCAGGCTGGGCAGGTGGCTCAGTGGTACAGTGCTCGCCTAGCATGCACGAAGCCCTGGGTTCGATTCCTCAGTACCACATACACAGAAAAAGCCAGAAGTGGTGCTGTGGCTCACGTGGTACAATGCTAGCTTTGAGCCAAAGAAGCTCAGGGACAGCGCCCAGGCTCTGAGTTCAAACCCCACAACTGGCAAAAAAAAAAGAAAGAGAAGAATAAAAGATCTGGGCCAGTCCAGGCAAAAAAGTTCAAGAGACCCCATCTGAACTGAAAGAGCTGGGCGTGGTGGTGCACAGCCGTAGCGGGACACATAAATAGGAGGATGGTGGTCTTGGCTGGTCTAGGAAAAAGACAGCCTCCCCTTCAAAAGGCACTAGGCCAGTGGTGCATGCAGAACGCCACCTGCACAGTCAATGTAAAGTCATGAGTTCAAGTCCCAGTACTGTTGAAAAAAAAAAAAAAAAAAAAGTAGAGGAGAAAGGTTAAAAATAGGAAACAAAACCAGAAAGCCAGGGCCATCTTCAGCTCCTGTGAAGCTGGTATCATAGGTGTCCACCACCACGCTCGGCCTTTGTTATTGTTTTAAAAGATTGTTTTTTTCTGGCCCTCCTGGGGCTTGAACTGTGGGCCTGGGCGCTGTCCCTGAGCTTCTTTTTGCTCAAGGTGAGTGCTTTGCCAACTGAGCTACAGCGCCACTTCTGTTTTACTTATTTGCCTTTTTTATTTAGTCGTTTATCGGGGATAAGAGTCTCCTGGCTTTGAACCACTATCCTCAGATCTCATCCCCGAGTAGCCGGATTACAGGGTGCGCCCCTGGTCCCCGACTTAGGATCTGGAGTCAGGAGGCTGGGTAGTACCGAGGGACCAGACCGTGTGTCTCTAATGTAAAATCAATTCATGGAATGCAACTCACGACCAGTGACCCAGAAGGACTCGGGGTGGGGGAGGGAGGGGGGACTGAGGTCAAATTTACAGGAGCAGCTGATGAAGAGTCGGGGTGGTTACCCAGGTGCACAGAAGTGACAACCTCAGATCCCATAGAGAAGCCGCCCGCCCTACCTGAACTTCTCCCAGGCGGTCCAGCTGTTCCTGCATCTGCTTCCGGGTGACCGTGACGTCATACTCTAGCTTGTCGTACTCCCTCCACGCCCGCTCCAGCTCCTGCAACCAGAGCATCCATTACTGCAATGGGCAGCGCCTTTCTAGACGTTTCTACGGGGGGGAAGGGGATCCAACCTCCTTTTCCTTTGCCTCCTCTCCCCCCTCATTCAGTTAAGAAATCCGGAGACAATTTAAATATTGATACTGTGTTCTGTTGTATCAGAAACATAAAAGTACCAAAGGTGAACACCAGTGGCTCACACCTGTCATCCCAGCTACTCAGGAGGCTGAGATCTGAGGATCGGGGTTCAAAGCCAGCCTGGGCAGGAAAGTCTGTGACTATTTCCAGTAAAACACTGGAAGTGGAGCTTTGGCTTAAGTGTCAGGGCGCTAGTCTTGAGCGAAAAAGCTCATGGACAGCGTCCAGGCCATGAATTCAAGTCCCAGGACCAGCGTACACATGTGTACACACACACATACACCCTTGATTTATGGTTAGTTATTAGTTAAAACACTTTAACAATCTAGAGTGCCACCTCCTAAGCGAAAAAGCCATGAAGAGGGCTAGGCAGGTGGCTCAGTGGTAGAGCGCTTGCCTTGCATGCCTGAGGCCATGGGTTCGATTCCTGAGCACCACATAAGAAAAAGCTGGAAGTGGCGCTGTGGCTCAAGTGGTAGAGCGCTAGCCTTGAGCTGAGGAGCTGAGGGACAGTGCCCAGGCCCTGAGTTCAGGCCCCACGACCAGACCAAAAAAAATGAAGACAGTACCTAGGCTCTTAGTTCAGACCCCAATACTGACATGCAAAATAAGATCCATCCCAACAACTCCCTCCCTTTCTTTTCTTTTTTTGCCATCCCAGACGTGGGGCTCAAGGCTGGCACTCTACCATGTGAGCCACAGCTCCACTTCTGGTTTTTTGGTGGTTCACTGAAGATAAGGGTCTCAGGGACTTTCCTGCAGGGGCTGGCTTTGAACCGAGATCCTCAGATCTCAGCCTCCTGAGGAGCTGGGATGACAGGTGTGAGCACCAGTGCCTGACTGATTTTTGCTTTCTAGGCAAGGTGCCTCTGCCTCGCCCGGCGTGGCCTCGAACCCGTGTCCCTCTCCGCCATGGCCCCAGGTGTGGGGTGCGGGACTCACCGCGGTGGCCCGCGAGAGCTCCCGGCAGGTGCTCAGCAGCCCGTTCTGCAGGTCATCTCTCTGCAGCAGCACCGTCTGGATGGCGGCGGGGTTGTCCGCGTTGGTCTCGATCTCCTGGCTGGCGGACAGCAGGGCCTGCTCCAGCGTGTACTGCGGACAGAGCGGGCCCCGGTGGGTCGCGGCCGGTGTGCTGTGCTGCCCTCCGCACGGCGGTGACCGCCCTGGTCAGGCCCCGGAGGCCACGGCTAACGGCCACCTACCTTCTCCTTGTGCAGCTGCCACAGCCGGTCCTCCAGGGCGCGCACCACCTTGTCCTGTTCGCAGAGGCGGCTCAGCTTGGCCTGGGCGGAGGGGAGGGCGCCTTTCGTTAGTCATCTTTGTGTTTGATTGCAATTGTGTTTTGGGGGTACAAGGGCGGGGGGAGGGAGTCCCAATCCTGAGTCTTGAACTCAGGGCCTGGGCGCTCTACCACTTGGGCCACAGTTCCACTTCCGGTTTTCTGGTGGTTCACTGGAGATGGCTCCCACGGGCTTTCCTGCCCTGGGCTGGCTTTGAACCGCGATCCCCTAGATCTCGGCCTCCCGAGCGGCTCTCTGCTCTGCAGCTCCAGCTGCCCGGGTGGCCTGGGAGTGAGATCAGGCCGAGGCCTACGGAGACCCGCGGCTGAACAGCACAGGGCGGGCGGCGGCTCCCGCCTGTCAGCCCGGCCGCTCGGGAGGCTGAGATCGGAGGATCGCGGTTCGAGGCCAGCCTGGGCAGGACAGTCCGTGAGCCTCTGATCTTCCATGAACCACCAGAAAAGCCGGAAGTGGCGCCGAGGCTCGGGTGGTAGAGCGCCCGCCTGGAGCTGCAGAGCTGAGGGACGGCGCCCGGGCCCCGAGTTCGAGCCCCAGCAGTGACAAGCCCCCAAATCCGCGGCCCCCCCCCCGGGGTTCCCGGGGCCTCGCGGGGTGACTCACGTCGGTGTCCGCCTCGTCGGGCCTGCAGCGCTGCAGCGCGCCTCCGTCCTGGGACAGCTGCGGAGAGAGGGACGCCCGGGCCTGAGACGCCGCGGCGCCGCGCGCGCCTGCGCACGCGCGAGGCCGCCACCGCCGGCGCACTGAGCATGCGCACGCAGGAAGGCGCGGCTCACGGCGGCTGCGCAGACGGGGCCAGCCCAACCAGGCCTGGCTCATCACACTGAGCCATGTGTGCGCATGCGCGAACGTGCCACTCACGGCGGCTGCGCAGACCTGTCCAGTCCAACCAGGCCTGGCTCATGGCACTGAGCATGCGTGAACGTGCCGCACGCTCACGGCGGCTGCACAGACGGGGCCAGTCCAACCAGGCCTGGCTCATCGCACTGAGCATGCGCGAACGTGCCACTCATGGCGGCTGCGCACACCGTCCAGTTCAACCAGCCCAGGCTCCACGGCCACCACCGTAACGGCACTGAGCACGTGCACACGCAAACCATGCCGCTCAGGGCGGCTGCGCAGACGGTCCCGTCCCACCAGGCCTGGCTCCTGGCACCGAGCATGCGCACACGCGCACGTGCCACTTACTCGCGGCTGCGCAGACGGCCCCGTCCCACCAGGCCTGGCTCCACAGCCTCGATCATCATCGCACGAAGCATACGCACACGCACACCCTGCAACCCCGCCCGGCTCCGTAGCCACGGCCTGGATCGCACCGAGCATGCGCACACGGACGTGCCGCCCACCGCGGCCGCGCAGCCCCATCCGGCCCAGCCATGTCCCGCAGCCACGACTGTCATCGCACTGGGCATGCGCACACGCGCACCCCGCGACCCGGCTCAGCTCGAGCGCCACGGCCCGGATCGCACCGAGCATGCGCACACGGACGTGCCGCTCACGGCGGCTGCGCAGACGTGTCCCCCCCCCCCCCGCCCCCACAGCCACGGCAGCATCTGCACCGAGCACGCGCGCGTACACACGCACACACACGGAGAAGAGCAGCAGCACACGTACACAGTACAGACTTATCTTGTTCTTCTGTCTCAAGAACTGGAAAGGCAAGGGGGGGGAGGCGGGGTTTAATGGCGGCTGGTGGTCGCGCATGCGCAGCCCCGGAGCCTGCGCGGGGGGGGGGGGAGGGGAGCCCGGGGGGCCGGCACACGCACGCACGCACGCACGCGCGCGCACGCACCCCCACCCCCAGACGCGACCCCTCCGGCCTCGCACTGCGCGTGCGCACGGATCCGGCGCTGTCTCCGCGTGCCAGCGCGTGGCCGCCCGCCCCGCCCCGCGGCGGCGAGGGGGCACCCGGATGGACCCGCGGCCCCCGCCGCGCGCATGCGCGCGCGCGCGAGGCTCATGCAGGAGGAGGGTGGCCGCGCACGCCGAGGAGCGAACACGGCGCTCGCGCGGACGCGACATGAAAAATGAATCTCGGGGCCCCTCGCTGCCTCGCTTTGCTTTGGGGGCCCGGGCGCCGTCCCTCAGCGCTGCCGCTCCAGGCGGGCGCTCTACCGCCCGAGCCACGGCGCCACCGCCGGCTCTTTGCTGGTTCGCGGGAGACGCTCCTGCCCGGGGCCGGCCTCGAACCGCGGTCCTCAGCGCTCGGCCTCCCGATCCTCTGCTTCGTTCCAAGGGGCGGGGGAACCGGCTGGAGAACTGTTAGCCGGCGTCTTTACCGGGTAAGTTGGTGAAAGAAAACGGTTCCGCAAACCCGGCGTGGCGCGTGCGCGTGGCGCGTGCGCACAGCCCGCCGCACGGGCCTGCAGGCGGGCCCTGCTCCGCGGGAGCGGGGCCGCTCGCTCAGGCCCCGGCCCGGGCCACCGAGGCTTCAGGTTGGGACTGAGACAGCGACCCCGGGTCTACAAAACAAGAACCCGGGCGGCGCCGGCGCCCGCCTGCCACCCCGGCCCCTCAGGAGGCTGAGACCTGGGGATCGCGGTTCGAAGCCAGCCCGGGCAGCAAAGTCCCTGAGACTCAGATCTCCCATGAACCACCAGAAAACCGGCCGTGGCGCCGTGGCTCAGGTGGTAGAGCGCCCGCCTGGAGTGACAGAGCTCAGGGACGGCGCCCGGGCCCCGGGTTCAAGCCCCAGCATGGAACGTTCCCGCTCCCCCCCCACCAGCACCGCCACAACAAACACACGACAGAAAAATCCACGTCTGCTGCTGCATCGATGCAGAAAGGAGAACCAATAAAATGCAGGCTACGATTGCTGTCTCAATGACGTAACGACATGAAAGAAAACGCTACCTACCCCGCACACCAAAATGCCTCTGATCTCAACTCAACTTAGCAGTCCACAAAACTGGGGTATGGAGAGATTTGAAAACACTCGATGTGTTGCCAGTGGTGTCAGTGTTTTATAATCGGTTGACTTTTTGTTGTTGGTGGTGGTCCTGGGGCTTGAACTCAGGGCCTGGGCGCTGTCCCGAGCCTCTTTGTGCTCAGAGCTAATGCTCTACCACTTGAGCCACAGCGCCACTTCCGGTTTTCTGGTGGTTCATGGGAGGTAAGAGTCTCATGGACTTTTCCTGCCCTGGACTGGCTTTGAACTGCGATCCTCAGATCTCAGCCTCCTGAGTCGCTGGGATGACAGGCGGGAGCCACGAGGTCCAGCTCCTATGCCACCGTTTTGTGGCTGTCTCCTTAGGGAACCGGGAAGACTTCCCAGCCCTTTATAAGCACTGTCCCGGCCCGGCCTCTGTCCCTGCACTGGGCTCGGACCCCTCCCCAACCCCACATTCATTTTTCATGGGAGGCAGCGCGTTTCTCCTCGGTGCGGTGGTGGAAGATGGCGGCAGGCCAGAGCGCAGTGCGGATGCTGTGCGGAACACACGGATGGATGATGTCAGGGACAGGACACACAGACACACAGAGCGACGGGTGGAGACGTACACGTACACGACGCGGCGACCGGGCACAGGGTGCCTAGAAAAGCCAGCCAGCCTCGTGAGCCGCCTGTCTGCCCTATCTGACCATCTACCTGCCTACCTACCTGCCCAATCTACCTATCCATCCATCCATTCTATGTATGCATCTATCCATCCAATCTGTCTGTCTGTCTATCTGTCTGTCTATCTATCCATCCAATGTCTCTCACCATCTCTGTATGTATCTAACATCTAACCATCTATGTATCAATCCATCCGTCCATCATCTATCTATCATCTACCCATTTATCTATCAATTAGGTATGTATGTATTGCCAGGGCTGGGCTTCTTTTACTTTCCCACGTGAGCCACAGCACCACTTCCAGATTTTTCTGTGTATGTGGTACTGAGGAATCGAACCCAGGACTTCATGCATGCTAGGCAAGCGCTCTACCACTGAGCCCAGCCCGTATGTGTGTGTGTGTGTATGTATGTATGCATGCATGCATGCCTATTTATCTCTCTGTCTATCTATCATAATCACATGCCCGTGTCTTGGGGACTTGAACTCAGGGCCTGGGCGCTGTCCCTGAGCTTTTACACCCATGGCTGGTGCTCTACCACTCGAGCCACAGTTCCACTTCTGCCTTTTTGCTGGTTCACTGGAGACAGGAGTGTCATAAACGAGCCTGCCCGGGCTGGCTTTGAACTGTGAGCCTCAGATTTCAGCCTCCGGGGTGGGTAGGAGGACAGGCACCCCCCTCCTGTGTTAAGAAATGGCCCCCCCTGGAGGAGAGAAGCCAGGTGATAACAATTCCTACCCCAAAAGCCGTCTTTTAACAGTAACAGTTCAATGGCCCAGGAACAATCAGGATGGAGAGCCAAGCCATGCCCAGAAAGCGTGGATGAGGCGGGAGCGCCCCCTGGAGGCAGGGAGGACGCCACACACAAGAGCCAAGCGGGGTCCAGTCATTCACTGTCCAACACCTTACTTGCTGGTACAGCTGCGGTCTGAGCGCCGAGTTCTCGATCATGGTGTGTACCATGGTGATAACCGGTTCGTTCTCCTTCATCTAGTTCAAATCAGGAGGAACAGACGGCAAGCGTCAGTTTACGACACTGTCAATAGCCTCTTCCACGCCACGCCTCCCGCCGGGGTGCGCATAGCACAGGTTTCCATCAACAGCTTCCCCCGAGGACTGGAGGCCGCACCCCTACAACCCCACGGGCGAACCCCAGCGCTACAATTCACGACCAGCCCTACGGATACAAGCACCCCAACAGCCACCGACAGTCTTGGGAGGAAAACGATCGTGGTAAATGGGAAGAAGAGTCGGGGTTTTGTGACTTGGGTAATGATTCTCCATTAGAACAAACGTCTCCACCTAAGGCTGTAGGGAGAATCACTCAACGTACGCAGCCAAGACCTGAGGCCTCGGCTCTGGAAGCCCTGTTCCCATCTCTAGCTGGGTGGTTCTCGATCACTTGCCTCTAACAAAGCTCTCCTCTCACTGGGCCAAATGTGGCGCCATGTCAGCCCAGCTACTCAGGAGGCTGGGATTCGAGGATCGTGATTTGAGGCCAGCTCTGGTGGGAAAGACTGGGAGACCCTTTATCTCCACTGAGCCACCAAAAAGCCTTCTGAGGAGCTAGGATTACAGGTGTGAGCTGCAGGGATGTCTTTGGAGCACACTCCCCTCCAGTTTCTGAGTTGAGGTATAAGTGTGTATAATAGATAATAGGGTCAAATAGGCTGCACTCTTTCAGTGTGTAGTGTCTCTGGGCCAGGGAGTTGAGGCTGAACCTTGAACTTCCTACAAGCAAGCCCCACAGCACAAAACGCTGCTTTCTGGCAGAAATGCAGGTGGCCACTGGTGACAAGTAGTAAGATAAGACAGGGTAACTGCTCCCGAGGAGGACAGCGTAATTACCGGTAATTACCGTAATTACCGTGGAAGCACCATGAAGGAGCACAGAAGCAGAATGCCAACTCCGCTGCCTACCAGTGCCATGCTGTCCTATTGAGTTTTCTCATGGGGGTTGGGCAGGTGGCTCGGTGGTACAGTGCTCACCTAGCATGCATGGAGTCCGGGGTTGGATTCCTCAGCATCACATTAGCAGAAAAAGCCCTAAGTGGCGCTGTGGCTCAAGAGTAGAGCGCCAGCCTTGAGCAAAAGAAGATCAGTAACATTGCCGAGGCCCTCAGCTCTTCAGCTCAAGGCTGGTGCTCTACCGCTTGAGCCACAGCGCCACTTCTGGTTTTCTGGTGGTTCCTTGGAGATCAGAGTCTCATGGACTTTCCTGCCCAGGCTGACCTCGAACCACGATCCTCAAGTCTTCAGCCTCCTGAGTAACTGGGATGACAAGCGTGAACCGCTGGTACCTGGCAAGCAGCAGCCTCTGCAGGGAATGCTGGAGTTTGGATGGGAGACCCGCTCGTTTCTAGAACTTTCCAACTAGCCACAATGAAGGTGTTTTGTGGGAAATGTCGAGCATGTTTCTCTTTAGGATGAACACTTAAAGAAGAACACACCTTCTACAGGGTCATCCGAATGCAAAACCTCTCTTTAAAGAGAAGAAGGTGCGGGCTGTGGTGTTCCCAGAGAGACAGAACGTTCTAGAACATTCTGCAAGCCTGTCTCCTATCACCTTTGCAGAGTCAATTCTCTCTGGACACTTTACAACCGGCTGGAAGGGGCTCTCGCTTCACGTTTGCTCGGAGAAATGGCGGCTCACATCAGCGCCCTCACTTAGTACCGGACCAGATGACAGTGTAAGAGGAGCCAGTCCTGCTGCTGGCCCTGTCTCTGAACGGCAGCCACAGCGCTGCTGGGCTGCCAGGGGCGTTAAGGATCCGGTTCTGCTCGGTGGTGAAGCCCCAACGCCCAGCCAGGCAGGAGACGCCAGTCGGGAGCGAGGCCAGGCTACCAGGGGCTCCTCCACCGCTCCGGGGGAGAGCACGCCACACCCGCTCCTCTCCCGGCCTTCCTGCCCCTTGATTGTTATTTATCCAAGTTATTTTTTGGTGCTTTACCGTTTGAACCAGAGCTCCACTCCCAGCTTTGCTAATGACTCCCCTGCCTGGGCTGGCTTCAGACTGCGATCCTCAGACCTCAGCCTCCTGAGGAGCTGGGATTACAGGCGTGAGCCCCTGTCCCTTCCTGTGACTCAATCTCAGGGAGCAGCAATTGTTTCTTTTGGGGGGGGGGTGGTCTCTGTTCATGCACACCCCTCTACCTGAACGGCTACGGTCCTCCTCCACTTCCTGGTGTACCCCTAAATTCACTTGCTCAGTGTCTTTTGTCTGCCGCATGTTAAGAGTTCACCGAAGTGGCCCCAACCCGGTCGGCAGCTGGGGGAAAACCAGCATGGCCGCTCATGGGCGCTGCGCCCTCGGGTCGGGTACTACAGTCAGGAAGCGCAGAGTCCCACCTGGTGGTCCAGATACATGGTGTTCCTTTGCAGGTGATGGGAGAGCATTTCGTTCTGGGAGGCGCCGAGGATGGGAGGAGGAGGAGGAGAGAAGAGACAGACAGACAGACAGACAGACAGGAGAGAGAGAGAGGATGCAGAATTCATGAGCAGGCCCAAGGTAAAGCAGAGACCACAGGCCACAGCCCGTGTGCGCATGCTCCCTGGAAGAGGCCGATGGCGGGTGGCGCATGGTGTCTTCCAATGACTCAGCCGGGCCCTGAGGAGTCTGCCACGGCGGGGGTGGGGGATGGGAACCCACCCTTCTCTGGCTTTCCGGACTCAAGGTAGGAAAGGTGGCCCGCGCCCTCTTCCCGGCAGTATAGTACTCCTCAGTGGGGCGGCTGCGCGTCCCTGGAGGCTCTCGGGCCCTCTGAGAAACAGTTCTCTGTTGATTGGCACCAATGGCACTAGCAAGCTTGGGTATGTTACTTGATGATGGTCACTCAGCCATTCGCTGTTTTAGCAGATGTAGACATCATCATCATTACTATGATTATTATTATTGTTTTTGGTCGGTCACGGGGCTTGAACTCTGGGCCTGGGCGCTGTCCCTCAGCTCTTCAGCTCAAGGCGAGCGCTCTACCACTTGAGCCACAGCGCCACCTCTGGTTTTCTGAGTGGTTCACTGGCAATCAGAGTCTCACGGACTTTCCTGCCCGGGCTGGCTTTGAACTGCGATCCTCAGATCTCAGCCTCCTGAGTAGCTGGGATGACAGGTGGGAGCGGACGCCTGACTAGAGAAGCCTGAATTCTCCAAAGCTCACCAGGGGACCTCGTGGTGCCGAGGCCCTGGTCCCCACCCGGGGCTGACCGCTACGACCCGGGGGTGGATGGGATGGCGGATGAGCCGGATGGACGTGCTCAGGGCTGACCTTTGGGCTGTGGGCCTGGAGCTTGAGCTGCATGAGCTGCGCTAGCGTGTGCTCCCGAACGCTGCTCAGTTCGGCCTGCTGCCGCCTCAGCTGAATGAGCAGCAGCGTGAGCTCCTCCGGCTGGAGGGGAAGAAGCCACACGTGGGAGACAGGTTAGTGGCTGACAGAGACACAGAGACCCAGCTTGCCCGGCCGACAACACACAGCGCGCCTAGCCACCGAGCAGAGAAGAGCGCACTAAGCCACAGACCTCTAGAGGGACAGAAGGGACACAGTTACTCCACGGCACGCGAGAACAGCCCGGCCATGGTGCAGAACTGAGATCGCGCCAGGAAGCACGCGGTCCACCATCTTAAAGGCATGCACACTGCTACACGTTCTTCTGGGGTGTTGGAGATGAAGCCTAAAAGCTCACCCTGAAAAGCTCACTGGTGGGCTGGGCAGGTGGCTCAGTGGTAGGGGGCCTGTCTAGCATGCATGAGGCCCTGAGTTCGATTCCTCAGTTACCACATGTGCAGAAAAAGCTGGAAGTGGCGCGGTGGCTCAAGGGGTAGAGCGCCAGCCTTGAGCTGAAGAGCTCAGGGACTGTGCCTCGGCCCTGAGTTCAAGAACACGACCAGCAAATAAACGAACAAATAAATAAGTAAAATAAAAAATCACCTACGGATCCCACCATGAAAATCCACGTCCAATGGGAACAACATCTTGTATTTAACGTTCAGGACTTGGGCCTGTGATTCTGCTTCCATGTTGCAACGTACCATTAGTGAGTTTACGGCATTTGTTGTTGCTGTCGGTCATGGGTCTTGAACTTAGGGCCTGGGCGCTGTCCCTGAGCTTCTTTTGCTTAAGGCTGGTGCTCTACCACTTGAGCCACAGCGCCACTTCTGGCCTTTTCTGCTTATGTGGTGCAGAGGAATCGAACCTAGGGCCTCATGCATGCGAGGCAAGCGCTCTACCACTGAGCCACCTGCCCAGCCCCTTGAACCCATTCTTTCAGTGGTATTTGAAATCACTTCCCAAGTTCTGCCTCCAGCCCGGCAGTTGGGTGGTGGTGGCAGAGGTGAGTTCCGGCCAGTGGAAGAAGAAGGAAGAGGAGGAAGAGGAAGACAGACAGACGTTGGTCCGTCTGTGATCCGTTTGAACCTTGGCACACAGCGTTATTTGCATGGGGGAAAGGCAGGTGGTGGAGGGTGTTCTACCCGCAGCGCCCACTAGGGGGAGCAGGACGCCAACACGGGGTGCGCTTGGCTTTCACACACGGTGACTATCTAAAGCGGGCACCATTTCTTTGCGCATGGCTAGAACGTGCGTGTCAAGAGGAGAATAAAAGATACATGAAGATATGAAACAGTTATGACCGCGTGAAGATTTCAAGTGCTTTGAGTGGAGTTCCATCTCATTCATGGCTTTGACCAAGTCACAGTTCAAGGCTTTCTTCCTGTGGTGTATGAGCCACGGGGTGCTGGGATTACAGGTATGTGCCACGTGGCTCGGCTCTGGCCCGGTGTTGCTTTCTCTGGGGAACTATGCAAACTGGTTTCTTCGGGATATGAGAAGTGGTTAACTTGGACCCAACTCACAGGAAAGCCATGTGGGGTGCCGCCTGCCTGGAACCCCAGCGTTCAGTAGCATCACAAGTTCTTCCTGCAAACTGCGTTCTTTCTTTGCTTTTGAGACTGGGCCTTACTAGACACCGACTCACCGTTTTCCCTTGGAGACTCTGCGAACTCACGGAAGGGAGGGTCAGGCTGGCGGGCATCGATCTTCTGTCAGGTACGTACATGTGCTGAGAGAGAAAGACACAGGACGCGGTGAGGGGAGGTGCGTGCTTGTGTGTGCGTGCGTGTGCATGCATGTGCGTGTGCATGCATGTGCGTGTGCATGCGTGTGCGTGTGTACGTAAAGTCACTGAGAGATGGGGGTGGGGCTCTCACTCACTTTTCGCCCTGCTCGCCTCCAGCAGCCCTCCCAATCTCCCCCTCCTGAGGAGCCGGGATTAAAGGAGTGAGCTACTGCGCCCGGCCCTCTTTACAATCTTTAAAATGAAAAGCGGCCTTGCTGGTGCTTTTAATTAGTGCAAATCTTTGGTTCTTCTCACAGTTGCACCTCCGCCTCTCTGCGCAGTGTCTTTCAGCGGAAGGGTGGGAAGAAAACTCGCCTAGATCCATGGCGCTACAAGGCCAAGTTTAGTAGCTGTTTGAATTTTGGCATTCACCTTTTGAGATTGCCTGAGAGCTTTTCAAATGCGGCGCCAGCACGGGTGTAGGAAAGTTGACGTGCGAAGCAGTCTGGGAGCGCCTAGCTGTGACTTTTGATACTTGGACCCGTGAGCGTCCATCGGTCTGTTTATGGGCCTAAGAAACTCATCGCCTCCACATGGGAGACGCCGGCTCGGGGCACCCGAAGCCTGGAGTGCCCCAAATCCACTGACCTAAGCCCGATTCTCCCAACGCCAAAGCCTTCCTGACCCCAGACAGCACTGGCCACACGTTCGGTCCCACCGTCCCTGGGAGCAGACTCGGGGAACCTTCTAGGAGCAGCCAGCAAACACGAAGGCAGCATAACCGCATGCCCTTCGTTTCTTCCCGACTGCAGGGAAAACCATTTGGCTCTCTCGCTCTCCTTTTTGGTGCTGGTCCTGGAGCTTGAACTCAGGGCCTGGGCGCTGTCTCTGAGCTTTTATGCTCAAGGCTGGTGCGCTACTGCTTGAACCACGGCTCCGTCCTCTGGCTTTTTGCTGGTGCGGTGGGGCCCAGGCTGGCTTTGAACTGTGACCCTCACATCTCCGCCCCGAGGACCTGGGACGACAGTGCCCAGCTCCACCAGATTCTGACTCAGAGTTTGTTTTCCTACCTCTCCCAGGGAAATAGCACATGAAAAAGAAAGAAAGGAAGGAAGGAAGAAAGGAAGGAAGGGAGAGAGGGAGGGAGGGAGGGAGAAGAAGGGGAGGAAGGAGAGAAAGGAGAGAAAGGAAGGAGGGAAGGAAGGAAGGAAGGAAAGAAGAAGGAAGGAAGGAGAGGAAGAAAGGAAGGAAGGAAGGAGAGGAGGGAAGGAAGGAGAGGAAAAGGGAGGAATGAAGGAAGGAAAGAGGAAGAGAGGAAGCAAGGAAGGAAGGAAGGAAGGAAAGAAGAGGAGGGAAGGAAGGAAGGAGAGGGAGAAGGGAAGAATGAAGGAAGGAAGGAAAGAAGGAAGGAGAGGGAGAAGGAAGGAAGGAGGGAAAGAGGAAAGAACGAAGGCAGGCAGGGAGGGAAGGAAGGGCGGAGGGAAATGAGAGCAGGAAGAGAGGAAGGAAGGAGGGAAGGAAGGAAGGAGGGAATGAGGGAAGGAAGGGAGGGAGGGAGGAAGGAAGGGAGGGAGGGAGGGAGGGAGGGAGGCAGGGAGGCCGGGCTCACCTTGGGGTGGTGGGGCCGGTGTCTGCGGTCCAGGGTGGCATCCCCTCTGGGGCCGGGGGGCGACAGGCCGGGCCTGGGGCTGCGCTGCGGGGAGCAGGCGTGGAGGAGGGCGAGGGGGGGCGAGGCGTGCTCGGCGGGGCCGGGCCGGGGCTGGGCTGCGGGCCGGGGCAGCGTGGCCTGCTTGCCGCACACCTGCCGCTGCTGCCACTGGTACAGCTGCGACATGGTGTCGCCGCGCACCGAGCGCCGCTTCTCCTCGGGCCGCTCGTGGATGGAGGGGGCCGCGCTGCACAGGCTGTCCGGCCTGGCCTTGGGGTTCCTGGGGAGCGTTCTGTAGCCCTCGGGGTAGCGGGCGAGCATCGGCGCCCGGTGGCTCGGCATGTTTCTTGGTAATGTTTGATAAGAAATGACGCTAAAGGTACAAAAAGAAAAAAAGGAAAGATGGAAATGTTAACATGAAGGAGAGGCCGGGTGCCGTGGCTCCCGCCTGCCGTCCCTGCCACTCAGGAGGCTGAGATCGGAGGATCGCGCTTCAAAGCCAGCCCCGGCAGGAAAGTGTGTGATCTCATCTCTAGTAGACCGCTGGGATGAAGCCAGATGCTAGCCTTGAGAGGAAAAAAAAACACTCAGGAGGCTGGGACCGTGGCTCACGGGTAGAGCGCTCGCCTAGCATGCATGAAGCCCTGGGTTCGATTCCTCAGAACCACAGACACACACAAAACAGGAAGTGGCACTGTGGCTCAAGCGGTAGAGCACCAGCTTTGAGCAAAAGCAGCTCAGGGACAGAGCCCAGGCCCTGAGTTCAAGTCCCAGGACTGGCACAAAATAATAGAAAATGGAGGAGGGCTGTTTCCCAAATTCTAAAACCAGCATGCTTTCTTGTTTTTGGATAAATGAAATACATGCTAAGGCACAGTTTTCATTTCCCTTCTGGTTTTGGAGCTTGAACTCAGGTCCTGGGCCCTGCCCTTGAGCTCTTTCAGTGGCTCTACTTGAGCCACAGCGCCACTTCTGGTTTTCTGGTGGTTCATGGGAGATCAGAGTCTCACGGACTTTCCTTGCCCAGGCTGGCCTTGAACCGCGATCCTCAGATCTCAGCCTCCTGAGTAGCTGGGGTGACAGGCGGGAGCCACAGGCACCGTGCTACAAGTGTAATACGTAGCCCGGCTTTGCAGCACCACCGTAACCCAGCACCCCATTCCCCGCCCATCTCGGAGAACCTGGGGTGGCCACTCACCCCCGGGGTTCATCCTCCAGACTCCTTTCCTTCTGGATCTTAATCCACTGCCCCAGCTGCAGCATGGAGTTGGTTCTCTGGAGGATGCGGTTGGGTTCGGGGTGACCCCCAGCCCTGAGGTCATTGGCCAGCCTGCCATCAGGGGTGCAGGCGGTGCCGGGCCTGGGGTACACCGATCCCCCGTCGTAGTCGGACGGCAGGGCGGTGAGCTTGACGCTGTTGATCTTGGTCAGCGGCCGCTCGTGGCCGTCCATCTGGAAGCCGTACTTCTCCGCCTCTAAGGCCTTCCGGTCGTCTAGTTTGCTTGTGTCTTTGTTTCTTTGGTTGTTTTGCGCCTCGGGTTTCACCAGCAGTCTGTGGTTGGGGATGTTATTGGTTTCTTTAGGGGGGGCGCTTTCCGAAGGGATCTTGTCCACTCTGAAAGCAGAGAAGAACGTTCTAGAACCATCGCCCGAAACTGGGCCAGACAGTCAAGCAACGGCAAAACACGTTGCACAGAGACCCACCCCTGGTTGTGCAGGGCGGGCCTGCCAACATTATTGGGGTGCCCCGCCGGAGAGATCAAGGGACACTGCAAAACTCACACCCCAACTCCCGCGTGTGCACACTCAAGTATGACGGAAGAGCGGTGAAAAGGGCGGATTGCTTTCCTCAGCTCTGATCCATTTTTATGTTCTGGTGACCCTGAGGCTCGCACTCGGGGCCTCACCCTTCCTAGATGGGCGCTGGACCGCTTGAGCCACGCTCTGGGCTCCTGACTAATATTTTAAGCCACGTGGCCAGGCATACCTAACCGGGTCGTCTTTTTTATCTCTCCCCCCCCACACCCTCCGCCACCCCGGCTTCACTGACTAGTGATGGAGTGATGGGTGGGCAGGATGTTGGATACGTGCAAAAATAGCGTGCGAAGACGCAAAGCTGTCAGCTAACCGATCAAAGGACTATTAAAATAGATGCGCGACGCCGGCTCAGCCCGAGTACTGGAAAACCACACGCGCACGCGCGCTCCGTCTCGCTTCCGGAGGGGAGACGCACCAACCAGGTCGACAAGCTCGAGTTCTAATCCCAGTACCACACCACAGAAAACTCAGCTAAAACCCGAACCTGGCCAACGAGTCCCCTCTTGATGATGTAAGATGTACACTCAACTATATATACATCGTACCAGAAACTTCATTTCAAATGATAGGTCATTTTTTAAAAAATGTGTATATTTATTCTACTTCTCTGTGTTTGAGAAACACATTTCCCCGGACAATTGAAACAAAACAACAGGCTGGGCAGGTGGCTCCGGGGTAGCGCGCTTGCCCAGCATGCATGAAGCCCGGGTTCGATTCCTCAGCACCACACACCCAGAAATTACAAGTGATTGCTACTGCCCTGGTAACTAACGCTCAACAGAGCTGAAGAGTATTGATATGAACCTTGCTTCCAAGCTGGGAAGAGAAAAATCACTCTTAGATCCATTTTCTTAGTCTACATTTTCAAGAACTTTGAGCACTGGTGCTCTAAAGCGGGAGGGGGGGGGCACAATTCACCCAGAAGTGGGTGTATTGCGAGAGCATCTCGGAGCGCGATGAACTATTTTCAGAAGGCGTTCATCATCAGGATTAACCAGCAAAGGTGAAGGAGAGGAAACTCCTTAAAAGGTCTCAGTGTAGCCGGGCGCCGTGGCTCCCGCCTGGCGTCCCGGCTTCTCAGGAGGCTGAGATCTGAGGATGGGGGTTCAAAGCCAGCCAGGCAGGAGAGTCCGTGAGACTCTGATCTCCAAGGAGCCACCAGAAAACCAGAAGTGGGGCTGTGGCTCAAAGTGGTAGAGCACCAGCCTCGAGGGAACGAGCTTGGGGACAGCGCCCAGGCCCCGAGTTCAAGACCCAGGGCCGACTAAAAACGAACCCCACCAAGTCTTAATGTTTTGAACTTCTCGAGCATGGCGGCAGGGGGCGGGCGGGGCGGGCGCGATCGTGGGGCGGGCACGATGGTGCGGGGCGGGCATGATCGCGGGGCGGGCACGATCGCGGGAGGCGGGCGCGATCGCGGGGCGGGCAGGATCGCGGGGTAGGTGCGATCGTGGGAGGCAGGCGCGATCGCGCGGAGCGGGCAGGATCGCAGGGCGGGCAGGATCGCGCGGGAGGCGGGCACGATCGCAGGGCGGGCAGGATCGCGCGGGAGGCGGGCACGATCGCGGGAGGCGGGCGCGATCGCGCGGAGCGGGCATGATCGCAGGGCGGGCACGATCACGCGGGAGGCGGGCACGATCGCGGGAGGCGGGCGCAATCGCGCGGAGCGGGCACGATCGCGGGGCGGGCACGATCGCGGGGCGGGCAGGATCACGCGGGGCGGGCCTGTGCACGCCGACCCGACAGGGTTAGAAAGGGGTGCGGAGCGGGGCGCGCGGCCTGGAGGGGCTGCGGGCGGACTTACCGGAGACTAAAGGTAATTCTGAAAGAAGAAAAGAAGATTCAGTTGGAATAGCAATCAGGGCCGAGATTCGGCGCAGGACACACAGACCGGTGCGTGCGAAGGAGCGGCAGGCCGGGGAATGGAGAACGACAGGGCAGCAGGGCGCCCAGGCGGCCCACGGCGCATGCGCGGCCCGCCAGGGAGCCAGCCAAGGCCAGCAGCCCACGCCACGGTGGCGCATGCGCAGCCCGCCCGGGATGGATGCCGCCAAGGCCAGCAGCCCACGGCGCATGCGCGGCCCGCCCGGGACAACGCCGCCGAGGCCAGCAGCCCACGGCGGCGCATGCGCAGCCCGCCCGGGATGCCGCCAAGGCCAGCAGCCCACCGTGGCGCATGCGCGGGCGGAGGCCGCCTCCTGGCCGCCCGCGGCCTTTACCTTTTCACGGGCTCGGTGTGCACCAGAGCCGCGTCCAGCATGGCTTTCATCCACAGCTCCATCTCCTTCCCCGTGTCCGTGCAGAAGTAATAGGTCCGCATGTTGGGATGAGCTGCCTGGTTGAAAATGACACTGTCATTGGAACAGAAAGCAGCACGGGATCCTGGGAAACGGGAGGTGAGGGGGGGGGAGGGAGGGAGGGGGAGAGAGAGAGAGAGAGAGAGAGAGAGAGAGAGAGAGAGGGAGAGAGAACACACATGGGTAAGCGGCTTCTGTGATGGCGACCGCCAAAGCGGACTGGTCTTTAGAAACAATTCCACCCGGCAGGGATCTTGAGACGGCCACCTGACGTCAGTCATCTTTCCCTGAAGTTCTTTTGGTTGGGTTACAATTAAAGCTGGGGCTGGGCACCGCTGACCACGCCCACTCGGAGACCACGCCCCCGCAGCAACCTGCCCCATGACTATCACCAGCCCCGCCCACCCGGAGACCACACCCCCGCAGCAACCTGTCCCATGACTGTCATCACCAGCCCCGCCCACCCGGAGACCACGCCCCCGCAGCAACCTGCCCCATGACTGTCATCACCAGCCCCGCCCACCCGGAGACCACGCCCCCGCAGCAACCTGCCCCATGACTGTCATCACCAGCCCCGCCCACCCAGAGACCACGCCCCCGCAGCAACCTGCCCCATGACTGTCATCACCAGCCCCGCCCACTCGGAGACCACGCCCCCGCAGCAACCTGCCCCATGACTGTCATCACCAGCCCCGCCCACCCGGAGACCACGCCCCCGCAGCAACCTGCCCCATGACTGTCATCACCAGCCCCGCCCACCCGGAGACCACGCCCCTGCAGCAACCTGCCCCATGACTGTCATCACCAGCCCCGCCCACCCGGAGACCACGCCCCCGCAGCAACCTGCCCCATGACTGTCATCACCAGCCATGCCCACCGGGAGACCACGCCCCCGCAGCAGCCTGTCCCATGACTGTCATCACCAGCCCCGCCCACCCGGAGACCACGCCCCTGCAGCAACCTGCCCCATGACTGTCATCACCAGCCCCGCCCACCCGGAGACCACGCCCCCGCAGCAACCTGTCCCATGACTGTCATCACTAGCCCCGCCCACCCGGAGACCACGCCCCTGCAGCAACCTGCAACCTGTCCCATGACTGTCATCACCAGCCATGCCCATCCGGAGACCACGCCCCTCAGTAGCCACACTCTGCAACCCCGCCCACCCGGAGACCACGCCCCAACGACAACCCCGCCTCTTAGCCACGCCCCCTCTGCAACCATGCCCTGGTGGCGGCCACGCCCACCTAAGTTATGCCAGCTACGCCCCCTCCGCAACCACGGGAGCCACGCCCTCCCAGCGACCACGCCCTCGAGGACGCGCAGGCGCATTTGGTACCTCTACTCACCAGATCAACACACAGAAGCTTCCTGGTCCAAAGGCTTAGTAACACAGCAGCTCGGACACACAGGGGACAGCACGGAAAAGAGGAGGAGAAGCCACCATTACGATTCTTGTTACATAAAATAATCGTGTGTGTGTGGGGGGGGGGGTGTCTATGTGTGTAGTGTGTCTGTGTGGTGTGTGTGTATGTGTGGTGTGCGGTGTGTATGTGTGTGTATTGTGTATATGGTGTGTGTGTGGTGTGTATGTTTGTGTATGTGTGTGATGTGTATGTGTGTGTGATGTGTGTGGTGTGTATGTGTGTGTGTGTGGTGTGTATGTGTGTGGTGTGTATGTGTGTGTGTGGTGTGTATGTGTGTGGTGTGTATGTGTGTGTGTGGTGTGTGTGTGTGTGGTGTGTATGTGTGTGGTGTGTATGTGTGTGTGGTGTGTATGTGTGTGGTGTGTATGTGTGTGTGGTGTGTGTGTGTGTGGTGTGTATGTGTGTGTGTGGTGTGTATGTGTGTGGTGTGTATGTGTGTGGTGTGTATGTGTGTGTGTGGTGTGTGTGTGTGTGGTGTGTGTGTGTGTGGTGTGTATGTGTGTGTGGTGTGTATGTGTGTGGTGTGTATGTGTGTGTGGTGTGTGTGTGTGTGGTGTGTATGTGTGTGTGTGGTGTGTGTGTGTGTGGTGTGTATGTGTGTGTGTGGTGTGTATGTGTGTGTGTGGTGTGTGTGTGTGTGTGTGGTGTGTGTGTGTGTGGTGTGTATGTGTGTGTGGTGTGTATGTGTGTGGTGTGTATGTGTGTGTGGTGTGTGTGTGTGTGGTGTGTATGTGTGTGTGTGGTGTGTATGTGTGTGTGTGGTGTGTGTGTGTGTGGTGTGTATGTGTGTGTGTGGTGTGTATGTGTGTGGTGTGTATGTGTGTGGTGTGTATGTGTGTGGTGTGTATGTGTGTGTGTGTGGTGTGTATGTGTATGTGTGGTGTGTATGTGTGTGTGTGGTGTGTATGTGTGTGGTGTGTATGTGTGTGTGTGGTGTGTGTGTGTGTGGTGTGTGTGTGTGTGGTGTGTATGTGTGTGTGGTGTGTATGTGTGTGGTGTGTATGTGTGTGTGGTGTGTGTGTGTGTGGTGTGTATGTGTGTGTGTGGTGTGTGTGTGTGTGGTGTGTATGTGTGTGTGTGGTGTGTATGTGTGTGGTGTGTATGTGTGTGGTGTGTATGTGTGTGGTGTGTATGTGTGTGTGTGTGGTGTGTATGTGTATGTGTGGTGTGTATGTGTATGTGTGGTGTGTATGTGTATTGTGTATATGGTGTGTGTGTGGTGTGTGTGGTGTGTATGTGTGTGGTATGTGTGTATGTGTATGTGTGGTATGTGTGGTGTGTAGTATGTGTGGTATGAGTGTGTGTATGTGTGTGTATGTATGTGTGTATGTGTGTATACGTGTGTATGCGTATATACGTGTGTGTGTGGTGTGTGTGTGTATTGTGTATATGGTGTGTGTGTGGTGTGTATGTGGTGTGTGTGTGTGGTGTGTGTATTGTGTATATGGTGTGTGTATTGTGTATGTGTGTGTGTGGTGTGTGTGTGTGGTGTGTACACTCCGGCACTGGGGCTTGAACTCAGGGCCTGGGCGCTGTCCCTCAGCTCTTCAGCTCAAGGCTGGTGCTCTACCACTTAGCCCCCAGCTCCACTTCCAGTTTTCTGGTGGTTCATTGGAAACAAGAGTCTCACGGACTTCCCTGCCTAGGCTGGCTTTGAACCACGATCCTCAGACCTCAGCCTCCTGAGGAGCTGGGATGACAGGCATGAGCCAAACCAATGCTTGGCTATCACTTCGTTTTGAGCAACCATGTTGGTCATCCTTATTTGCCCCCTTTTACACCAGATAAGAACGTCCACAATACAGCCTTGTAGCTCATAAACATACGTGCTCAGAAAGAGGCCACAAAAGTCACAGGTGACCCCTGAAACTTATTTCAGCCATAATCATAAGGCAAAGACAGTAACTGGCCACCAGAGGGCAGCAAAGACCAGCCTGGACAGAAGCGGGTCTGGCCTCAGCTCTACCACTTGAGCCACCTGCCCAGCCCGAAACTGCCTTACCTTAAAGGCGTATTTCCGATGAATGTGATCCTCAGAGGTAAGCATGGCTATCTGGAAGCTGGGTAAGAGTATGCTTCCCAGAATCCCCTCCTCTTTCTCATCTAAGAGGTAATCGAATAGCTAATTAAAGATCTCAAGGCTTTCAGAAGGAAAGAGAATAAGGTTCTCAAAACTTTCTTGGGCCAAACCAAAAGGTTCTTACACACGACTGAGCTATATTTATATGCAGGCAGATCTGTATGCATGCATGCACGCATGCATGCACATATGTATGTGTGTGTGTGTGTGTCTTTTTGTTGGTTGTGGGGCTTGAACTCAGAGCCTGGGCACTGTCCCTGAGCCTCTTTATGCTCAAAGCTAGCACTCTGTCACTTGAGTCAGCTCCAAAGTTGGTTTTGGAGCAATTCACTGAAGATCATGAGTCTCATGGAGACTTTTCTGCCCAGGCTGGCTTTGAACCGTCACCCTCGGATCTCAACCTCCGGAGTGGGTACGGTTACAGGCGTGAGCCACCAATACCTGGCTTTTATTTATTACTTTTTTAAAGGTTTTAAACAACATCAAATAAAATAGCAAAGGCTCTTTCTCTCTTTTTCTCTCTCCCTGTCTCTCTGGAAGGGGGCTGGCTGAGACAGAGTCAGGCCGGCCTTGAACGTGGAAGGCTTCTTGCGTGGACCTGGGATTACAAGCCAGCACCACGAGGCCCGGTCGGTTTCAATAAGCCCCCTTATTATACCAGAACACAAAATTGGTCCCCACACATCAAAGCAAACCCCATTTAGACATCAAACGTTTGGTTTGTATGTTGCATTCTACAAAGGCTTTTGTGAGTCACTGAAATGTGCAAGCTCACCAGTGAAGACAGGGAACATGTCTTTCAGCCTCGGATCAACATCTCTGATCAACAAGGCTCACTTTCATTAAAGGTGATCATTCTAGAATTTTCCATTCTCTTCCTCTCTTCACTAGATTGTAAAGCTCTAAGAAAAGCATTTGTTTTTTTTTTGGGGGGGGGGGAGTGTTCTGGTTCTGGGCCTTGAACTCGGGGCCTGGGCGCCGTCCCTGAGCTCTTTCACTCCAGGCTGGTGCTCTACCACCTGAGCCACAGCTCCATTCCCGGTTTTCCGGTGGCTCACTGGTGATCAGAGTCTCAGGGACTCTCCTGCCCGGGCTGGCCTTGAACCGCGGTCCTCAGAGCTCAGCCTCCGCAGGCGGGACACAGGCGGGCCGCCGGCTCCTGGCTGGAGAAGAGCCTCTCGGTACTATTCATTGCTTCTAAAGCCGCCGAGCGAAGATGGCTGTGGCCTTTCCTTTATGGAGGTTAGTGCTTGGCCTACGCTGTCACGGGGAACGAACGCGGGAGACCGCGGGAGCCGCTCACCCCGGTAGTAGAAGAGGCACAGGTCGGAGAGCACAAACCAGCGCTTCTTCCAGAGCTTCATGCCGGTGCTGTCCTGCGGGGGGAGAGGAGAGGGGCTGCTTCATCCAGCCGTGGCCAGGGGCCCGGGAGCGCCGGGAGGGCGCGTGGCCGGCCCGGGAGCGCGCGTGGCCGGCCCGGGAGCACCGAGAGCGCGCGCGGCCGGCCCGGGAGCACCGAGAGCGCGCGCGGCCGGCTCGGGAGCACCGAGAGCGCGCGCGGCCGGCTCGGGAGCACCGAGAGCGCGCGCGGCCGGCCCGGGAGCACCGGGAGCACGCGCGGCCAGCCCGGGAGCGGGAGCACCGAGAGCACGCGCGGCCGGCCCGGGAGCACCGGGAGCGCGCGTGGCCGGCCCGGGAGCGCGCGTGGCCGGGCCCCGGGAGTGCACGTGAACAGCCCGGGAGCGCGCGTGGCACAGCCCGGGAGCGCGCGTGAACGGCCCGGGAGCGCGCGTGGCCGGCCCGGGAGCGCGCGTGGCACAGCCCGGGAGCGCGCGTGGCACAGCCCGGGAGCGCGCGTGGCACAGCCCGGGAGCGCGCGTGAACGGCCGTAAAGGCCAGGAAGAATGTTTGGGTGCGCAGGTTTTGGGTTCAGGGAGATGGAAATGACAACGTTCTGCCTATGTCCAAAAAGCACTGAGCAGTCAGGCACTTGCGACTCCCGCCGGGCATCCCAGCCACTCAGGAGGCGGAGACCCGAGGATCGCGGGCTCGAGGCCAGCCCGGGCAGGAGAGCTGATGAGACTCTGATCTCCCAGGAACCACCAGAAAACCAGAAGTGGCGCTGTGGCTCAAGGGGTAGAGCGCCAGCCTTGAGCACAAAGAGGCTCAGGGACAGCGCCCAGGCCCTGAGTTCAAGCCCCACAACTGACAAACAACAATAACAACAACAACAAGTTAACGGGCATCTTGAAACCTTAATATAAACCTTAATATAAATGCATATCCGTGACATTTCTTCTTCTGGGTTTTGCTCATCCTGTAGAAGGCTGTCCAGATTCAAGTAATTTACTTCATGAAACTATCGCTCACCCAAAATTACAGTTGTAATAAAAATTACTTTGCTATATGAAATAAAACAAAAAAATGCAAGAGAAAGCAGACAGCCAGGTAGATAAAGGAAAACGGGGTTAATGCACATCACATGTTTAGTATTTCTTAATTTATTCCTAGCTGGAAACCAACATCAAGCAATGCTTTTAGAATAGAAATTAATATGAATAAAAATCCATGAGTGCAAAAGATTCGTGTGTGTGTGTGTGTGTGTGTGTGTGTGTGTGTGCGCGCACATGCACGCACCAGTCCTGGGACTTGAACTCAGGGCCTGGGCGCTGTCCCTGAGCTGCTTTTGCTCAAGGCTAGCACTCTTAATGCTTGAGCCACAGCACCACTTCTGGCTTTTTCTGTGTATGTGGTACTGAGGAGTCGAACCCAGAGGTTCATGCATGCTAGTGCTCTACCACTTGGGCCCACAGCTCCACTTCTGGCTTTTTTGTTTGGGGAGGGGGGGTAGTTTATTGGTGATAAGAGGCTCAGGGACTTTCCTATGCAGGCTGGCTTTGAACCATGATGCTCACATCTCAACATCCAGAGTAGCTGGGATTACGGGCGTGAGTCACTGGTGCCTGACTAGCAACTGTACATTTTATGGAAGACAGTATTGGGTTTCAGCATACATCTGACATACATCATTCAAGAAAGGAACGTTTAACTCGCTTTGGGCCATGGATCTGATGTTGGAATGCAGAACAGAAAGAGAGAAGCCTGGAATGTTCCCTCTATCATTTTGGTTTCTTGGTAGTCACTTACCGAAACCCAGCCGCAAACTGAGAAGAAGAGGAAAAAAAAATAGCCTCAAAACCATAAAGATCATGTGCCAAAATCCAGGGAGGGGACTAAAATATAGACCTGAGGGCTAACCTCAATCTATTAAATATTTTCCAAAAAGCTTCATTATCAAACAACCCAGATAGCACGATCCATTTTCACGACCATGTACCCTATGGTCTGAGCACAGACCCTGCTTGAATTAGCATGAGGAGAAAAAGCACAATAATAAAAAGAAGAACAAAACTAAGAGGTTGAGACGCAGCAGTCTGAGTATACACAAGTCAAAAAAAAAAATAAATCTGAAAACAAAATGCAGGCAAGCAGAGCACTGCGCCTTTATGTAATGATTTTATGTGAAGAGACCAAGAAGAAAGAGTTTGACTTTCTCTCTTGATGTTTAACAAGCATACATCAACCTCTGTGTTCTAACTACTGGCTCTCTTGCTCTCTTGGCATTTATACAGGTAATAAAAGGCAAGGAATCATTTTACAGCACTGTCTTGGTAACATTTTGGCCCGACAATGTCCCATTTTTTTTTTTCTTTTTTGGTTGGTCATGGGACTTGAACTCAGGGCCTAGCGCTGTCCCTCTGCTCTTCAGCTCAAGGCTGGCGCTCTACCACTTGAGCCACAGCGCCACTTCTGGTTTTCTGATGGTTCATTAGAGATCAGAGTCTCATGGACTTTGCTGCCCTGGCTGGTTTTGAACTGGGATCCTCAGACCTCAACTTCCTGAGTAGCTGGGATGACAGGCGGGAGCCACTGGTGCCCGGCTCCTTCTGCTTTTTATCCTTCTGTTTCATACCAAATAGACGAAGAAAAAAAAAAAATACCAATACCTGTTTGTAAAGCCAGCCTCTCCTGACCACAGGGGCATTAGGGTTCCTTTTAATTGAATTTGATCTCTTCCCAAAATTGTGAACTTTTTTGGATGCCCGTGAAGTCTAAAGAGAAAACAGTAAGGAAGGCAAAGATGTTTACGATGACTCCTTTAAAATCAAGCTGTGTGGCTGTTCTTGTTTTTCTTTTTCCCAGACCTGGGGCTTGAACTCAGGGCCTGGGCGCTGCCCCTGAGCTTCTTTTGCTCAAGGCTAGAGCTCTACCGCTTGAGCCATAGCACCACTTCTGGCTTTCTTTATGCATGTGGTACCGAGGAACCGAACCCAGGGCTTCATGCATGCTAGGCGAGCACTCTACCACTGAGCCACCTGCCCAGCCTCTGGCCTAACCTTTCATTCCAGGTACTGGGCTTAAATGCAGCTCATGGCTGGAGCTCAACCACTTGGGCCGCTCCTCCAGGCCAGCTTTTGGTTGGTTGAACGGAGAGGATGTCTTAAGGACTTTTCTCCCAGGGCTGGTTTCAAACTGCCGTCCTCCAGATCGGAGCCGCCTGGGTAGCTATGATGACGGGCGTGAGCCACCGGCGCCCAGCTCCGCTGGGAGGTAAGTTCTAGGCTATTCACTTCCCATTCCCAAGTCCCTCTACACCAGTGACCTGCACATCCTGCCCCTCGGTGACATCACCCCAAATCAGAACTGCTCCAGACACTGCCCCCCCTCTCCCCGATCCTTGAACCCCTGAAGGCCTGGAATGCAGGGATCGGGGTGCAGCCCCAAGCCTCCCTCTCTTGGGGGAACCGCTCTGGATCCCGCCCGGCCCCGGCATCGGCTGGTGATGAAGAGGAAAGGCAACCATTTACCCTGCCGGCGGGGCTCATGGGGTGGGGCGCGTAGTCGGAGGCGGGGCTGTAGCTGGCTTCGTTGACCATGCTCACGGGCCGCTCCTTCTTGTCTTCTGCCGGCATGCTCCCAACTGCCCTAGAAACACAGCATGTCACAGGCTCCGCTGTGTTTTAGGGCCAACAAGGCGGGTGAACTACCTGAGCTGGGGGCCAGGGCCGCTGGCTCAGGCCTGTCATCCTAGCCACTCAGGAGGCTGAGATGGGAGGATCGTGGTTTGAAGCCAGCCTGGGCAGGAAAATCTGTGAAACATTTTTTTTTTTTTTTGCGAGTCCTGGGACTTGAACTCAGGACCTGGGCACTGTCCCTGAACTTTTTGCTCTAGGCTAGTGTTCTACCACTGGAGAAGAGCACCACGTCTGGCTTTTTCTGTGTGTGTGTGGTACTGGGGAATTGAACCCAGGGCTTCCTGCATGCTAGGCGAGCACTCTTCCACCTGAGCCACCTGCCCAGCTCTTTGTGAAACTCTTATTTCTGGTGAACCACCAAAAAAAAACCCAGGAAGTGGAGCTGGGGCTCCAGATGTAGAGCGCTAGCCTTGAGGGGAAAAAAAAGAAAAAAAAGCTCAGAGACAGTGTCCAGGGCCTGAGTTCAAGTCCCAGGACTGGCACAGACACACAGATTTAGTTTGTATTGGTCTTGGGACTTGAACTCAGGGCCTGGGCGCTGTCCCTCAGCTCTTCAGCTCAAGGCGGGTGCTCTACCACTTGAGCCACAGCATCACTTCTAGTTTTCTGGTGGTTCATTTGCGATTAGAGTCTCTCGGACTTTCCTGCCCAGGCTGGCCTTGAACTTGGATCCTCAGCTCTCAGCCTCCTGAGTAGCTGGGATGGCAGGTGTGAGCTACCAGCGTCTGGCTACAAATTCAGTTTTTTCCCACTGCACAGAGTGTGCACCTGACATCCTGGCCCGGCTGTCTGATACATGGTGCATACAGGAACCCCACAGCCACGTACCCACCCCCGTGCTGACAGCAGCTGGCCCTCGACCCGCCCTGTACTTACTGATCATTCACTACGAAGATACAGTTGTCTTGAGACGGCTGGCCTGTGACCGGGTGCTTGCAAGTCACTTTCCTTTCATTGTGACTGGAAAAAGCAAAGCGAAAGCACAGGTCAGTCTCCTTGCTATGAGCGAGGCTTCTTCCATACTTGGGCGCCAGACGCCCATTTCCTTTCTATACTAATGCCACAGAAGGGCAAAGCTGAGACTCAAGCGTGGCAGGGAGCGTGTGTGTCGAACACACACTTTGCTGGTGTGTCAATCAGGGTTGTTGTACACTCAAGAGTATTACCCTCCCCCCCAACAGAAATTACCCCTCTAATTCTCCCACCTTGGTATTTTGTGAACAGGGAGGAGTGGCCATTTTCCACTCAATAGGTGATGTGTCCCCGCCCCCTTTCTACCATTCTGTGGCCCAATTCTGGCACATCACCGAGACCAAATCCACCTATGGGGGACAAAGCTGGAGATACGTGCACACGGGAAAGGCGCCACGGAAGAGTGGGTAACGAAAGGCAAGTGGTAAGTTCCACACTCTCACGTGGCTTTTGTGCTCAAGGCTGGTGCTCTACCACTTGAGCCACAGCTCTGCCTGTGGTTTTCTGGTGGTTCGCCGAGATCAGAGGCTCACGGGCTTTCCTGCTGGGGCTGGCTTTGAACCTCGATCCTCAGCCCTCAGCCTCCCGAGTAGCTGGGCTGACAGACAGGCGTGAGCTACCAGGGCCTGGCTGAAATACATACTTTCTGGCTTGAGGATTGAGCAGTGAGATTAGGGTTCATAGAGTTCTTGGAATAAAAGGAAATAAAGCTTAAAAAAATCTACACCAAGATCTTCCACTAGGGCTCCCAAATATGTAATTTAGACATTGATACTCTATCATTATATATATATATATATATACATATATTTATATATTTTCCCTTTGCACTTGTAGATTATTAATTCTTCCACCAGACCACATAACGTAAAGCTGCCTGCTGGGCAGAGGGACCGTGTGCATTTTCCTTCTTTCCTTCCTTCTCTCTTGGGGTGGTAGTGAGGTTTGAACTCAGGGCCTCGGCGCTTGGGCCACGCCCCAGGCCCCAGTGCTGGGATTTCTGGGCTCGGTGGAGAAGGCGTTTGGCAGCACTGTGCGGTCTGCTCCCTGCAAGAGGAGGCATGCAACACCGGCTCCCTGGGAGACCAGAAGTTCAGTTCTTCCTTCCAGGTCCCGGCCTTCCCGACTGAACTGGCAGCTGCTCAGTCACTTCCCGTTCGTTTGAGAGAGGGTCTCACGCTTTTGCCCGGGGAATTTCCTTCCTGTCTCCCCTGAGGCTTGGCTTGCAGGCAGGGTCGGTGCTGCCTGGCTTGTTGTTTGAGGTAGGGTGTCTCTCACTTTTTTCCTAGATCCTCCAGTGGCTGGGATTACAGGAGTGAACCACAATGCCCGGCCTTTTGGTTTCGATGTGTCATTTGAGACAGGCTCTCAGGGGATAGCCCAGGCTGGTGTCAATGTTGTGACCCTCCTTCCTCCCTCTTCCCTGAGGCCAGGGATTACAGGTGGTCACTACCACACTCGGCTGGGAGATCGTGCCAGGAGGAAGCAGTCCCGAGGAAGGTATGAACGCCTTCATGAAGGATGGAAGGTCTTTGGCGAAATCCTCAGAAAGAGGCAGCAGAGACCAGATACTCTCTCCTGTCATCCTAGCTACTCGGGGCGGGGCTGGATCAGAGGACCGCAGCTCAGAGACTCCCATCTCTAATTAACCAGCAAAAAGCCAAGCTGGAGTTGTGGCTCAAGTATAAAGCTACAACCAAGAGAAAAAAAAAAAAAGTAGGCGAATGGGAGACTTGAGTTTGACCCCAAACCAAACTGTGGTCACCCTTGTAATGTTCTGAGCGTTGTGGGTCCATGCCTACATATGGGACACTGACCGCAGCACACAAGCAAGCGTGTGGTTAGGACAAAGTTGATTTTTCTTTCAAATTTAGCAAAGAGACTGAAATTGCTGGGAACCTAAGTGCCAGCTACAGCCCTTGGAGTGATATTACACCGTGGAACCGAGAGATTATTAAGTAGCGCTTCCTGCGTTGTCACTGGCTGAAATCATATCCATCAGGCAAAAAGAAAAAAGAAAAAAAAGGAGTGCTTCCCCAGAAGGATATGTTGGTTGGCTTTGATGAAACTCAGATGTGAACCTCAACTTATGTGATCTGCGATGACTCATGCATTTCCCCCTCAGGAAAGAGAAGAGGATTTAATTTAGTTTCAAGCAAACTGGGATTTATCTCAGCCCGGCTTGGCATCCAGCTGCTGTTTGGTTAGTTCTTCTGGCAACCCTGGTAGCAGGGCCAGGGCGCTGGGAGCCAGAGGTGGTCTTGGGGGGGTGGCTGGGATTCCAGGCAGGAGCGACAGGCGTGAGCCACCCACAGCAGACTGGAAAGGTATTTTTTTTTTTAAATATTTTTTTCACCAATAGAAATCACCTAGTAACCAGTGCGGCAGAGTGATATTGCCTTGCTGAGCATGCACGAGGCCCTGGGTTCAATTCCAGGCCTAGCACACACATGCATACAAAAGACACAAGTAACCGTCATACCCTAGTGAATCTCAAACAAGGAAAGTGATGGAGGTATAGAGACACTTCTGTAGGGGCCTGTGAGTTATGGAGTCCAAGGCTGATTGCAAAATTGCTATTCAATGTACGTTTCCAGATTGGTTTTTTAGAGAGAATGATTCTAATTTCTATTTGTCTTAGTAAAAAGGAGAAAAATATTTCTTTGGAATCTGGCTGTGACGGTGACTGTTTCAGTCATTTATTTTTCAACTAAACACACACACACACACACACACACACACTATGCTGGTATTGAAAATTGTGGCAGCAGCCGTGGCTCCCGCCTGTCATCCCAGCTACTCAGGAGGCTGAGAGCTGAGGATCGAGGTTCAAAGCCAGCCCAGGCAGGAAAAGTCGGTGAGACTCTGATCTCCAAGGAACCACCAGAAAACCAGAAGTGGTGCAGTGGCTCAAGTGGTAGAGCGCCAGCCTTGAGCTGAAGAGCTGAGGGACAGCGCCCGGGCCCAGAGTTCAAGCCCCATGACTGACACAAAGAAAAAAAGAAAATTGTGCCAGCAATTAAACCCAATGTTTTAGGAACAACACAGAATGCAGCAAAAGCTCCCTGCCTTTTTTGGGAAAGGGAATTCTTGGAGCCTTGGTAATCTGAGAAATAACCGAGTTAGCCACCCCAAAGGCTGTAATTGTTTTTCTCAACATGACAAGTATCTATTTCCTTTGCCCACTGGATGGGGAGTTAAATGCTTGCAGCCATTCTGGGCCCAAACAGGCCCAAACCGCCCTGAGTCACAGGCAGCATCTTCTTCCCGCTTAACCCTTTCTCTGCCATTCAGATCTGGTGGGCAAAAGTGAGCATTCACGGAGTGGGAGGATGTCACCCCAGTAACAGAGGGGGGGGGAAGGGGGGGCCCTGAATGCCATGCCCTGGACACTCAGCGTTTGCAGGCCTGCAATGGGTCCACTTTACCACCAGCACATTCATTCATTAAAGCTTAGGAGGCTGAGATTTGAGGATCGTGGTTTGAAGCCAGCCCGTGGCAGAAAACTCTCATCTCCAATGAACTAAAACTCCCCCCCCCAAAAAAAGCCAGAAGTGGCACACTGGAGCTCAACACTAGCCTTGAGCAAAATGAAGCTCAGGGACAGTGCCGAGGCCCAGAGTTCAAGCCCCAGGACCCACAAAGAAAATGTTTATGACCTTCATAATGCCACCAGACACACGCAGCAAGCAAGCGGGGCCGAGGATGAGCTGCTTCCCCCCCTTTTTTTCTTTATTTTGTGCCAGTTCTAGGGGCTTAAACTCAGGAACGACGTGCTGTCTCTGAGCTTCTTACGCTTAAAGGCTGGTGCTCTTCCACTTGAGCCTCCGCTCCACTTCCAGATTTTGGTGCTTAGTTAGAGATGAGTCTCAAGGACTTTTCTTCCTGGGTGGGGCTTTGTCTGTAACCTCGATCCTCAGATCCCAGCCTCCTGAGTAGCTGGGATGACAGGCCACTTTGCCTCCCACGAGATCATTTCCACCCTGACTCCACAGTGAGTTTCCCCCAGTGAGTCTCCTTCCATCGTCCTGTCCTCTGCCATCGTTTCCCTCTCTCAGTCAGCCGTTCCGATAGACGCTACCTCGCGTCTCCACCACAAATGGTAGAACAGATGTACAGCCAGCGATCGCTAGCAGCACCAATGCAAAGTCCACCTTGGCCCAACCCTAAAGAGCCTGAAGAAGGAGCTGGAGAATTCTCTGGCAAACCCAGAGCAGGGCCCAGGGACGGGCCCAGAGTTCCAACCATCAGCACTCACCCGCCGCTGTCTCCCGTGATCGGTTCGTGGCTCTGCACGGAGAATTTACCAATCATAAAAAGCTCTTGAAAATTAAAAAAAGAGCACGTACGCCAACAATTCCCCAGGAGAAACGCTTAGAAATGGAGCTTATGTAACTCAGGAAGCCACACAACCGAATTCACACCAGGCTGGGGGAAAACAAAATGTGCCTGCCACACTCAGCCGGGGTGTTAAGGACAGTTATATTTTGGAAGACTTGATACATTACACACAATGACTGAGGGAGTTGAGAGGGGCTGGGTGTGAACTCACTCCGGGAGGGCTGGGAGCCGACCCCAGCGATCGGCACCATGATTCAAAGTCATTTTCTGCCAGGTGTTCGAGGATCGTGCGACATTTTTGGTTGCCATTAGCAACCACTCTATGGGCGTGGCATGCAGGAAATCCAACCTCTTGTCTTAAATAGGCTTGATGCTTTTTTATGGGAGGGTGGGGAGGGGGTGCTGGTCCTGGGACTTGAACTCAGGGCCTGGGTGCTGTCCCTGAGCTTTCTTGCTAGCACTCAACCACTTAGCCTAAGGTCTATTTTAGCACCTTAAAGAGACTACTGAGTAAGCTATATGAAAATACGGTTGGCAAAAACTTAGGGTGGGAAATTTTATTTTATTTATTTTTTTTGGGTCTGGTTGTGGGGCTTGAACTCAGGGCCTGGGCGCTGTCCCTCAGCTCTTCAGCTCAAGGCTAGCGC